CGTTTCTCAGCGTGCAGACGGAGATGGAGCGCGTCCACCAGCTGATGGGTTACTGTCCACAGTTTGATGCCATCAGTGACCTGCTGACGGGTCGGGAGCATCTGGAGCTCTACGCCCGGCTCAGGGGGGTGCCAGAGGATTCTGTTAGCAAAGTAACCAAACCAGAAAAAAACAAACATGTTTTTCCTTCATCTTTCTAGCTTTTCAAAGTTTCCATCAAATGATTCAGTTTACCTTAAAGTTCAGGTTGAAAAGTTTGTAGTTTTCTGTTCCTGAAGTTTCCTCTCTGGCATGTAGGTGGCGCAGTGGGGGGTGAAGAAGCTGGGGTTGACCCAGTACGCAGAGCAGGAGGCTGGAGGATACAGTGGAGGCAACAAGAGGAAACTTTCCACGGCGATCTCCCTGATCGGAGCACCTCCTGTTATATTCCTGGTACAGAATCAAAGCAGACGCAGGAGAGGCTCTGCTTTAATTTATCAATTTAATATATTTCTCTCTCTACCGGCAGGATGAGCCTACCACTGGGATGGACCCAAAAGCCAAAAGATTTTTGTGGAACTGCATCCTGAGTGTCACGAAAGAAGGCAGAGCTGTTGTCCTCACTTCTCACAGGTACGACACCCAAAATGGAGTCAGACTGTTGGACAATCAATTCATCTTTCCTCCATATTCATAGAAATAAATGTTTATAGTCTTTGTGGCTTTTACTTTTTTTTGTTTATGGTGAGTATAGGAGTTACAATAAAGAGCAGAGCAAGAAGCCTCCTGTTGTTGCTCACATACCAGGAATCATAATGAAAGCAGTTTGTCACCATCAGTTATGGCAGATTTTGCCCACTTACATTTTGAATACTTTTTTCTATCTATATGTTCAATACTAAAATTGACAATTTGTACTTGCATTAATTAGCATCTGCTTGGCAACACAAACGCATTTCTTTTCATATATGTATGAATAAATTATGGTAATGGTAATGTGTTTTTTGACAACAAAAAACACTTTGTTTCCTTTTTTCTTTTTACAAATAAAAGTGTATTTATAGTGATGTGAATGTCAAAGGTCGTTTCTTTGCTTGTCATTAGCATGGAGGAGTGTGAGGCTCTTTGCACAAGGATGGCCATCATGGTGAACGGCAGATTTCAGTGTCTGGGATCCGTCCAGCACCTGAAGAACCGGTACCCACACACAACAGAACTATATATACAAACTTAAAATTCAATGTTAAGGTCATAAAATACTTTTTTTTTTCAATATTTCTTTCTCCAATATTTTTGGTCTTTCAGTATTTGGAGGGAAAAGTTGTATTTATATAAGCAAAAAAGAAAAATAATGCAAATTGCACAAAAATATAATTTGGAGATCAAGAAGAAAGAGTAAACTGTGAGCATTGGTGCAAGTTTTATTTTTTGCAAAATGATGATTTGGGAAATATCAGAATTTGCACAAAATTTTCCATTTTTATCTGTTTGATTACTTTCTAAAATATTAAATCAGATGTTATGACTAGTCAGTACTTGTGAAACCTTTTTACCAAATACCTTTTTCACTCTTGAGTGATGTCTTACTTTTACTTTGGTTGAATTTCGAAGCAGTGCTATTTTTGCGTGAATACAGTTTTACTCTGCTGTGCAGAGTGAAGTTAAATCTCTGTTTTGATTTAATTTGGAAAAATCTGGAACCAATCAAAACCTGCTTTGAGAAATTATATTTGATAAGCAGCAATATTTAAATTAGCTGCAATTTGAGGACGAAGTGAAAAGATAAGATTTTGTTTTTGGCTAAATGTTTCACCAACTTAATGGATAAAAAAGTTCTGTCACAAGTCAGGATTTTATTGATCAGAATATTATTCAGGTTTGTGGGTGAATGTGTGACTTTGTTTTGGTGATATTTGGGTTTAAAGTGATCAATGATTTCCAGAGTTTTGTTTCAAATAACTGCTGACTTGATTACGTTGATTTTAAAGCTAAATCCTTTAAATCCAACCGGTGAATTTCAACAGACTTAGTGACTGGATGTATCTGTGATTTTAAGGAATGCAGCAGCAAACCTTCTCACTTATCTTTGTTTTGTGTTAAAGAAAGATACAACACATGGAGGAAAACATTTCAGTTTGATCTTCTTCCATCTTGTGTCCAGATTCGGAGACGGTTACACCATCATTCTACGTCTGGGAGACACCAAACCGGACGCCGAGTCCTGTCCCGTCGACGCCTACATGAGGACGTCGTTTCCCGTCATTGAGCTGAAGGAGAGACACCAGAGCATCCTGCAGTACCAGCTGCCATCGCACGCCTGCTGCCTGGCCCGCGTCTTTGATGTTCTGGCTAACAACTACGAGGAGCTCGGAGTCGTGGACTTCTCCGTCTCGCAGACCACCCTGGATCAAGTGAGGATGAGGATGCAGCAGAAATGAAGGCCTTCGTTACTCTGAAAACAGAGTTGCATGAGCAACCAAGAGAAAAAAACAAAATCAGATTTCAGAATTGAGCATCATGACCTGCTGTGTGAACGTAACCTTAGACTCATTCCTTTATTTCCCTGCTTCATTTTTGCAGGTGTTTGTCAACTTTGCGAAGGAGCAGACTGACGACGACTGCCTCACTGACGTGATCATCGGTAACGGCGCGGCGCAGCTAAACCTTCCCGCCAGAATAAATGCCCCAGCCGTCAAACCCCAACAACCCCCACCACCACCTCAGCTGAGGAAATCCCCACAGCTTCCTGCCAAATCACCCGACAGCAATCTAAAGGAAACCAAGCCGAAAAAGGCCAAAGCCAGGAAGGTCAGTTCAAACGGGGAGACGAGCGGCGGCGTGCCCATGAGCGGATCACCGCAGGGAGAGGAAGTCGGTCCAGAGGCGGGCAGCAGCAACGGAGGACTTCAGGGGGAGTCCAGCAAACCTCACAGGTCGAAACACAGAGAAGAAAGCTCCAGCAAAGATCCGGCTGCGCTCTTCATAGTCGGCAGCAACTCACAGGAAAGCTCGCTGTGACGAGGCGCAAGACAAAGTGGACCAAAGACAGACAGAATAATAATTACTTCCTGTTTATTCACCTGAATGCTGCAGAGTTCACACATGACACAAACTCTCCGGAGTCAGAAGTGAACGATGTTCTTCCTTTAACGGCTGCGGTGCCTTGTTCACCTCGTTACGTATTTGTAGCTTTATACGCGTTTTAAAAATGGCCTGAAAGTAACTCTTTGGTCTGTTCTGAAGGAAAACTGCAAAGAAACAGTTTATTTCTCAGGTTTCCGTCAGTTCGTCTTTTATTTATGTATTTTTTTTTCCAGAGAGAGCACTTTATGCACGATCCTTCAAAGAATCAAACGGTAGCAGATTAAATGTTACTTACTATGGGGACTTCATAGATGTGAGTTTTGCCGGTTATTACAGGACATGGATTTTACCTCTTTAATGTTTTACAGTTACATTTTTGTCATCTATGGCTTTTTTAAATGTATTTATTTATATAGTCATAAAGTTTGACTTTACTGTCAAGTAGAGGTTGTTATTTACATTTTCTTTTTATTATTTAAGTTATTTTTCCATCTTTCTGTACGCTACACATTTATGAGTGATGTAGTCTAGAAATGCTCCAAACGTTTCTTTTTTGATTTATATAAATTATAATATGCCAAAGTGTCCAAATTCAATGAACGATAAAATCTTGATCGGTACAATACTTTTGAAGGAGAGTAAGCTCAGTTCCCTGCTGAATGTCTGAAGCACTGTGATGCACTGTTGCATTTTAAAAATACTGTTACTGTAATATTTAAGACAAAGTAAGCTGATTTATTTTACTATTTTCTTGCAGTTTTACCTCCTGTTTTATTCTTTACTGCTGCATGTTATATCAAGTAAAGCTGAATGTAAACTTCTACTTGAAGGAAATATTTATCTGCTGTAAGATTCAAATCATATCCTGATATCATGATGTGGAAAAAGATTAAAGTCTGTTTCTAATGTTTTCTGCTGGAGGAAAATAAAAGTCTTTGATTTGTTGACAACTTTACTGTATTTTTCTGCTTTATCTAAGAACAAATTTGTTTTCTGATGTTTTTCAAGAAACCTTACAGATCATGAATGTTGATTTTTGGCATATATTAAATATAATCTGAGTGAACTATGTTTGTTCCTCTGTAATTTCACATATCGTAAATTTTACAATATTTCAGAACCCTGTTTCATTCTGCTGAATCATTTCTTCCTCTTTACGGTCTGGAAGATAAACAGGAAGTTAGCAGCCTTCCTGTGATCATTTTACACAGTGACATGGCAGAAATACTTGTTTTAATAAGCCCTATTTATTGGTATTTTATATTATTTGAATTTTCAAATTAGTTGTAAAACATAGTGATCAAAATTACCTCAAAAGACATTTGTCAAATTTGAAATATGAAAATGTGTCACCTTTTGGACCTGGTTGAGTAAAATGTCATTTTCTTCTAAGCTATTGCAACTTATAGAGAAGCACCAGTTGTTTCCATGTTGGTTTCTTATTTTATACAACATACAATGAATCAGATGGCCTCGAAAGGGTTTGATTATGCCGTATGGTGTGGATATTATATAAAATAAATGTAGTTTTCTTCCTGGAATTGGTTTCTGTGTTTTAAAGTGGAGAAAATATGCTATGTTCGGCTTTAAAGTAGCTTTATTTCATGGAAGCCTGTTTCCGCCACAGATAAAAAACAAACCCAACTCATAATTAGATATTTTTATAAATATTTTTTTTGTAAATACATCATTAAAAATCTATGTTTTAATATTTATTTTTGTTAAAATACGTTTCTAAAAATATTTTATAAAATGTATTATGTATAAAATAAATAAATCTATAAAAAAATATCTCATAAGATAGATAGTATCTCACTCTCACAAATATTTATCAAAATATTTTAGTACAAATATTTTTTGCTTTTATATTCATAAAAACAAAACGGTGAGACAAACAGCGCCCCCTTCTGCCGGAACACCGTTCTGCCTTTGCTCTGTCAGCCTCACTGGCTAGCTGCTAGAAGCTAGCACCCGCTCTCATTGCTTTATTTTTTTATTTTTCTATATCCTGTCCATTTTCTTTGTAAATATACTACCACTATCACCTTAATCATTCTCTTTCGACATACTTGAATAAAATGGTCGTTTTGTCAAATGACGAAGAACAGGATTACATGTAAGTACTCATTTCCTTATTACATTAGAAGGAAATTAGCTAGTTTGCATTAGCTGAAACTATAGTGCTTGTTAAATTACAATAAAATAAGTTTCAAGTGTTTTTTCTCGTCTTTAAACGCACTTGAACTGACCGAATATCAAGTCATTATCTAAAGCTTTGTGTAGCAGGTGTTTTAGTGCAGATTTAAGGGTTTTAAAACGATTTGTTTAACTATCGTTGTTAGCCTTTTGCAGCTAACGATCTAGCTAACTTGTGTACGTCTGTTTGTGTTAGAAAACCATCATAATTAACGTTATTTCTATTATTATTCGTCTAAATATAATAAGTGCGTGATCTATGTGCATATACGAATCGTTCAAGCCAATTTCCCGTCACGGAAGATAATAAAAAGGTGCAAAATAGTGTAGCAACTATGATTAAAAAGCTGGTTTTATTTGTCTTTTCATGTTAAGTGAATGATTCAGATGAATCTCACTAAACAAGGTAGAGATTACACAACATAATGATATTTATAACATGCAGAGCTGGGGTTAAAAATGGCATCTTGCAGAAAGAAAGCTCGGCAGAGGCGTGGGAGGATCCCCACTCAAACCCACTGACCTACATCTGATTCTGCTGCTGGAAGCAGAGGATTTAAATTTCACTGCTCTGATCCGGTTTAGCCCACTGGGCTCTGCAGACTGTGGCTCCTGAGACCTTCCAATGTAGTTCTTCATTAGCTCACTAATATTTTTAAATATGGTTTTAATAATAATTAAAAAGCATGTTTTGCATTTGCTAAATCATGCTATTTTCTTCCCATTAGGTTAGGAAGCATGTGCTTTTTTCCTGTATGTATTTCCATTGAAGGAAAACATATCCATCTTTTTTCAAACGTCTTAAGCTTTTATTTTAAAATCTAGATAATATAGAAATAAAATGAGGGATCTTGAAACATTGCAACACATTTCTTGCAGTAGATATTTATCAAAACAAGAAGTTGTCTTTTTTTGACCTTCACTGGGGGGTAAAATGGCTCTTTGGACTGCTAGGATAGATAAATGCAAGGATAAAGAAAGCATTAAATAAAAATATTACTAATAGTACTTGATATCTTATTTTTATAATATATGTTTGGAGAGAACTTAATCTTTTCATGTTAAAATATTCTCCTGGCAGATTTCTTGTTTTTTCTTTGGAGATGTTAAATAGGGACTTCTTTATTATTAAACAAAACGTAGATTTATTACTGCAAACTAAGTGTGCGTGTTATTGCTAAGTCTTGAGGAACTTCCTGGTTTGTGAGCGTCTGAAATCCTTAAATGGTTTTGTTTCCTTTCCCAGTGACTTTGTTTCTAATGTGTTATTCAATTTCGTCAAATTAAGTGTTTTCATTATGTGTTGGTTTTTGAATAGATTTTTAAAAATTCTCTTCATGTCATTTCTCAATTATGCATGTCTGACAGTAATGAATCGTGAGTTGATTACTAGAAAACATTATTTAGCGAATTCAGTTGTTTGGAATGGAAATACATTTGAATTGCACTTTTTCTATTAGGATCACATTGCTACATAAATGCAATTTATAACTTTCAAAAATGCATTCATCATTTCTTTTTAAACATACATACGTGAATGATGATGTAAGTGTGTTTTATTTTTAATTCTCCAGCTTTTTATTGGCTTTATCTGCATTATTGTTTCTGTTGTTATAGTCTTTTTATTTTTTGTGTGGAAATGCGATCATCAAATGTTTGTGCAGCTTAAAGAAACTGAAAGATATTCCCTTTTGTTCTGGTTTTCAGCCTGATAGAGGAACGCAAATGCGTCTCGCTGCCCTGCTCGCCTGCTAAGCGAGTTTCTCCAGCCAAAAGGAAGCAGTATTACATCAATCAAGCCGTCCGCAACTCTGAACTCACTCCGCGCGCCAAAGGCAAAAAGAGCCAACGCCGACAGGAGAACTGTAAGGCCAGGCAGCTAAGCTAATGTAATACTGATCAATTAAGTTGCACATTTACGTTTTAGCTTGTAAAATTGATAATCTGCTTTCTTGGTTGCAGCTCGTTTTCTTGCCAGTCTCCTGGAGAATGACGAATATTCCAAAGATGACCTGGAGGTTTGCAGCAACCCGGCTATCCCGTCCATCTTTACTGAGGCCTGCACCAATGAAAACTACATAGTGGTACAGTTTAGAAACTTTATTCTTAAGGTAGCACCTAATATTGCAGACTTTATATCTAATTGTCTGATTTAAATGTCTTAAAATTGAGAAGAAGCTCTTTTGAAATGTTTCATTTGTTGTCAGATTGGTTCAGAGTTGAGTAGTAACTAGTTACATTTACTTGAGTAACTTTTACTATGCTGCACTTTTATTTGAGTTCTTTTATTTTGAAGTGTTTCTACTCTTTCTTGAGTAAAATTTCTGGATTCTCCATCCACCTCAGCTCACCTGAGTGACGTTGCACCACTCACTTTCTTCAAATCAGACATAAATGGTGTCAAATGTTTGTGCTGCTAAAATTCTTGTTTGTGCTGCTATCATTTTAAAGATATTAGGAAAAGTTTCCAGAGGTCATGAAAGGTCAACCAGCCCTTCCAACTTCTTCAAATCAGACAAAATGGGTGTTAATCAACTCAACTACGTTTGTGCAGCAAAGATGTTTTGTTTGTGCTGCTTTGGCTTTAATATTAATTAAATTTTGAAGATAATTTTGATTTTGTAAAAGTGGGGGGCTGGTTGAACTTTTGACCTTTAAACTTTCATGAATATCTTCAAAGCCATTTTGCCTTATTGTGGTGCAAACTGAATCTGCTGTTCATGTGCTTTCCTTAAAAAGATTTCCTTCTTATTTGCCATGTTAGTTTTAAATCTTTTTGTCTTTCGGTAGCCGTGGGATGACTTCATGAATTGCTCCGGTGAGGAGCAGGAGCGTCTGCTTTCTCTCCTGGAGGAGGAGGGAACCAAGAGGAAAAACAATCAACTTCTCAAAGACCACAGGAATGGTGAGTCTCTCCGTTTGTTTTTGTTTATTTTGGAGCGGGTTGTTTTCGTGCGTTTGGCTGACTGGCTCTCCTCTCTCTGCAGTCTATACTGCCTTTTCTGCTCAGGAGTGCTTCCACAGAATCGATCGGCGGCTTCAAGCGACTCTGAGACGGAAGCAAATACCCATGGTGGGCGTCGCCTCGTCGTCGCATTTCCTACGCTCAGAAGTTTATTGTCGGTTACCAGTTTCTTTAGTTAAGGCTTGAATTGCTTCTACATTAGGATACATTTTATTTGTTCCTGTTTTATTGCAATGATTTTATTTTCTTTCTATTTGTTTCATAAAACTCTTTCCACATTATTCTGTTAGTCAGATGGTGAAACATGAGAAGGGATGCATATAAAAGTTGCAATAGCTCTCTAGGACTGGACTTGATTGTCCTTAATTTGATGTTAATTTAGGTTTTTACATCTTTATGTTTGTTTTTGCCTTTTATAATGCAAAAAATTATGTTTTTTGTTCACATTGTTTCTTGGAGAGCCTTATTAAACACAACACATGATTTGATCTCTCTTTTCTTTTTGGAGTACTTGAAGTCCTTGAAAGTGCTTGAATTTCAGTTAGGTGTTTTCAAGTTTTGGCAAGTGCTTAATTTCTCTATAAAATCCTCGATATTCAAGCACTTCCTGATATTTTTGTAATAAAACATGAAAATCCCACATTTGTAAAACACCATTTACAGTTGAAACCACCATTTTTTTTCTCACTGTTTGAAGTGAAATAAAACTAAACTTTTCTTGTTTTAGGTCAGGTAGAAATACTGAAGTTATTTATATTTCATAAATGACAGAATATTTGTATTTTATTTTTCAATATTTGTTGTTCAATGATGTATTAATGTAAACGTTGGCCTAAGCAACACTGTTGCAACTGTGGGATTTAACCTTTGCATGTTTGAGGGTCTCTGTCACTTTAAGCACAAGATTTTCTGATATTCTAGAGTTGGAAGGAGGAAGGTATGATGTCGGAAAACGTCAGTAAATAAAATCAAATCTTTTGCTGCTTTTTCTCCAGGGAACGCTGGAAGTGATCGAGGAAAAGCTTCTCAGCTTCTTCAGCGCTGAACCTCACTCAGTTTACACAACCATCCTCAGCAGCAGGTAGAAATCCTCTTTCTGTTGTCACAATATCTGGATTTGGATGCTTAGACTGGAAAGGTAAGTCTTTAATGGTTAGTATAGTATAATTTCTAATTAGGTAAAATAATTATGTTATTAGGAGGCACTATTGTTCAGTGCAGGCAGTGTGAAGACTTCCTGATTCTAAAAAATTATAAAAATTCTGCGAAAGTAGGCAAATTGTTAATTTGAGAAAGAACTGAGCTTTCTTTCTTGTGTCGGCCTTGTTACTGTTTTAAATGAAAACCAGCTGTTATCTGCTCTCAGTTGTGAGCTTTCTTTTACTTGAAATACATTTCGACAGGTCTTAGCATAAAGCTGCCTCTGATCTTATGATCTACTTCGACTTAAATTTCCAAATATATGCTGACATCATTCAGAAACTTCAATACAGCTTTGCCAATCAATAGTGAATTAGATACAGCAAAAACAAAAATTGTTAAAGAAATTATTTGTGATTTTAAAGTATCAGGACCCGACAACTGCAGCTTATTCGCCACTTTTGGGACATGAGGAAATAATTCAGCTTAAACGTGTACCTTAACTTTATTTGTGTACTTTGTTTATATTAGATGGAAAAATTGGTTTAAAAAAAGTCAGTAATTAACAAGACTAAATTGAATATGTTTTTTAAAAAAAGGGAATTTTCCTACATATATCAGAAAATCTCCTTATTTTGTGTCATCCTATTAAAGCACAATGCTGTCAGAAATGTTAAAATACTCGAGATCATAAATTTGGCAAAAACTTTACTAGTCGGTTTGAATTTGTTGTAAATTATAACGTTTTTCTGTGTGTGAACCAGTTTTGAGCGGCTGCTTCTTCATGCCATCTGCCAGTACATGGACCTCGTCTCTGCAAGTGAGTGGAGGCTATTATACAGAGTTTTTATTTTTATTTGCAACAACCAAATCTAAAACTTTTCTGTTTGAATAGAAGTTTGATATGTTTCGGTCATGTTTGGATGATGAAACTGCTTTGCGGCAACAGGCATTGACTACAACGGCTCACGTCAGACTGAAGTGATGAACAAACAAGACGAGTTTCTTCCTCCAGGACTTTTACTGTCTGCCTACCTGGAGAAGATGAGCTGAGACCTCCTCTTCCTCTATCATGTAAATGTAAATAGGACGTGGGGTGAATTTTCCATTAATTCTATCCACAAAGAAACTTCAACAAACATTTAACTAAACCTTCAACTTCCGTATCCTTCCAAAAATTTTGATCATTTCAGTACGTCTAGTTTCTCACTCGTTGGTGGTTTGGAGCAAAAACCCTCAAAACATTTTTTTTTAATGTTGTCAGTCTCAAATAACGATGTTTTTGCAACGAATAATGGTTACAAAATGTTTCTAAAGTAGGATTTAGTCAAACGCAGAAACTGAAAAACGCTTTTTGTCGCGCAAGTCTGACTGGAAACGTGGAATCATAAAACGGTAACTGAGCTCATGTTCTTCTCCACGTAAAGATTTACAAAGTTTTATCCTTTTACATTAGAGAAGAATAAATATGGCCCAAGTCATATTTTTACTCTAAGCTATAAAGCTTAATTAATTGCAATAACCAAAGTTACTTTTGTTCTCATTGGCCTGTATTACTGTGACAAAAGTTTTTATTATAAAAATATGGTAAAACTTTTCAATGTGACATTTATCCTGTACAACTAAAAAATAATCTGGTTGCATAAATTTGTGCACAACCTTAAGCTAACACTTTGATAAATAATGTATTGACTTGTTCATTAATACTAATCTAACAGCTTTGCCCGTTTGGGCTTTGATTTGACTCTTAAAATTTTATCACAGTGACACTTTTGTGATAACAAAAGAAATTTCTTTAGGAAATTAGCCACATAAATGTCCTGAAGCAGATTTGATCATGTTTAATTATATTTAGTGTCGCTTTCATCAATAAACAATAAACAATTGAACAAACAATGAAGAAAATAGTAAATGAAGCAGCAAATCTGATAATACAGCCAGTTTTTAAAAAAAACTAGTTAAATTTATTGGGATAAACGTAAATCATAATTCTTATGATTAAATATTTTTCATAATAAACAATGCAATAAATTCTGTGATTTTAGTTCCGACTTGCAGAAACTTTAATGTTTGTTCATAGTTTCTTCCACATCAATAAAAGCAACAGTTTAATCTAAAACTGCCGCCACCACGTCAGCCTCACTGATCATTTATGAATGATCAGTAAATCCTTATGTCGACTTTTGAAAAATATCCAGTTTTGGTAATGTTACTACAAGCCGTAGTGTGTGTGTGTGTAATTTTTCTAAAGAATGCAAATGATCTTAGGAAGCTGAACTTTCACTCAGGTTCCTCAGATTTACGTTTTGTTTTTGTTTTGTGCACTTAAGAAAATATTGAAATTGAGTCCAAAGGTACGTAAAATATTTGTCTTAAGGGATTTGCATACTTATACCACAGTTTCCCCTCTAATAGATTAGTTTTATTGTACAGGTTCGACGTCAGATTAAATGTAGAAAAAGTTTAGAAATGAATGAGAAGCACTAGTTGTTTTCCGAATACGAATATACAAAATATTAACCTGCTTCCTGACCATCACTAGAGATGTTTTAGTTATTCATGTTCATGTTATCTCTAGTATTTCTCGTAGAAATGATAGAATACATACAGAATACATTAGAATCAGTTCATGAGTTTTGTTCAATCCATAAAGAGGAAGTAAAGCCTTTAAAGTGGAAACCTCTACGCCATCATGAATGAATATTTAATGAGCTGAACGTGTGTCTGTCTGAGTAGAGAAACAAAAATGATAAAACCTGAAGAACTAATGGAAAGTTTACTCTGAGGTCTGCTTGCTGCTGGCTTTAAGCATGAACGGTGCTATCTTTGCTCTCAGATCAAATGCTTTTCTGCCTGAAACTGTCTCCTGGATTTCTGCCAGCGAGGTTTAGAGCATGAGTTTTAGGGATCCTCCTGTAAGCACAGGCATTTCTCTCATCAAAGTCACGTTGTCCTCGTTGTTTAGGGGACATTTATCCTTCCGTATCGATTTGTGTTCGCTTTCTGACGCGCCGACGCCCTGTTCACACTGGAAATGTTCTCATTAACTAAATCTTCAGAGTTTATCGATTCGGCTGCAGACACTGCCACCTGAAACGCAGTCCAGACTTTGAGCTCAGATCTGTCGAGGTTTCCGATTACACAGCAGATCCAGTTTGGATGCCTGGAGCAGGTGCTGTTCTGGTGCTGGTTTCCAGTGTAGACAAAGCGTCTGGTTCTCCTCAGTTAGTCTAAAAGATAAAGAACTTTATTCTGTATTAAAACCTATAATAGGAGCCTCCATGTATGCATGAATTTCTGGATTTTTTTCCCCTCCAGCCTCTTTGTTTACTCTCAGATAACAGGTTTAGCAGCTGCTTTACTTTAACTGATACCGTCGATTAATGGTGTAGTTCACAGTTTCTACAGCAGAGGCATCATTTTACACTTTTCCGATCCACATCAGGGGATTTTTTTTGATTATTTAAAAAACATTTTCGTCAACAACCACTCTTAAAACAAGAAGAGAAGCACTTCTGCCTTATGAACCTGCAGTTTCTATCATTTGTCTGTGCATGCATTTCTATATTTTTACTTGACCAGATCTTGGAAACATGTGTCCAGTTTCTGCTTCTTTTTTACGCTGTTGACAGCAGCAGTGACAAAACTTGACGTGTTGGTGCATTTTGTCAACAACCAAAGCGTGTGTGTCTGTTGCGTGGATACATCCAACTTCTCAGGCTTTGATTTCGTCTCTCTGAATGTCTCGCTTCACATGCCGTCTGCTTTCTTCACGTGAACCTGGTTCGTGGTCTCTGCAGCTCTTTGGAGGGCTGACATCTTTTTAACTACTTGTAATCACGCTGTAAATATTTAACTGACTTGTGCCAAAATGTGGTTTTTAAAAGCTTAAGCAACTGAGAGCTGAATACGTGATTCTGGAGGATTTTTGTGTATATTTGATGTGCATATTTATAATGATATCTGCTGTATTAAAGGGGATTTAAGATGCATGTGTGTATTTTATTCCTTGAGTTTTTCTCTCAGGCATCTGAAGTTGACTCCACTTTGAGTCAGAATCCTGATTTTACTGTATAATAAGGTCTACGGTACTGAAACAATTAGTAGATACAGGTTCAGGTTAGAGTTCTACACATCTTTTTCAATGTGGAAGAAGTACGTGGAGTTTATTTTATAAACTTAACTTTTAAATTGCAACGGAACTGACAAAAGTAATTATTTTTATAAGTATGATATGTCCACATCTAAATTAAGTTTCATTCATAGTTAAAAGTTCTTTTTTTTGTTTCATAGCATAAATATGGAAAAAAGTTTAGCATTTGAGTCAGATTTAGCTTAATACCTTTATAAACTTCTAAAAAAAAAGAACCTATGCAGAAATATAAGTTCATTTCTCTTGGTGTCTAAAGAATGAGCCATTTCAAAAACCTCTCAACAAGGCAAAGGTATCTAGCATCCTAAATGTTGCTCCAGCACATTTGATCAGCTGGTTTTACTGCTGTATGCACTGCACAATGGCTGCAGGAAAGGCACCTATTCTGATGCTGACTTGCTGTTCAGGAAAAACTTGCTGCATTCTTGTTAGTTCTGCAGGAGGCTCCATTTCTGCTTTTCAAACATGTATGGTTGCATGATTGCAGATCTATTTGCAGCCATTTTTGCTTGCGAGTGTAAATGTTGAATAAGCAGCAGCTTATTTAGATTTAAAATGACATAAAGCTTAAAACAGCTCATAGGCAAGACTAAAATATCATCTAATATTTTCTGCAAAACAAGTTGTGAACATGTTTTGTACAGACCATGTACCTACACTAACCTGTTCAAGAAATCACAGTAGGTCCCCTTCAATAATACATTTATTTAAAATTACAGCCAACAGTGCCCAGTGTGGCATAATGTAAAATTACACCAGTCAAAAGCAATATGATGAATTATTAGTTTATTGGAAAATTACCACATATTTAGGTCAACACGTAAACTAATCCTGCATCTTCAAAGGAATAAAAATGCAGAGTCCCATAGTGACCATTAGGGGGCGCAGATGTACCTGTTTTGCTGTTGATGAAGTTTGTTCGACAGGAACAAACTGAGGAACTGAAGAAGATTCTCTTCTGCCATTTGTGTTTTTTGTGAAATTAAAAAAGTGTCAAAGTATTTAATTCAGGGGGATTATGTTCCTCCTGAATCACAAGAGAGAAAATAAAAAACTCCTTTATGATCGTCATCAGCTTATGTTTCTGTGCTTTAAAGCTTAGGGAGCTTCTGTTATAGTGTTAAATGTCAAGATGTGAACGTTTCATTTGTTGACTCATTCAATGAATGATCTTCAAAAATATATTTCATTCGAGTAATTAATCTCATGGTTCAATTAAATTTTAGCAACGAGACGATATTAATGAACATTGACATGGAAATACATGAGATTATATAACAAATATATAACAAATGTAGAAAAAATTGGCATTTTCAGAGCTAAAAACTAACAAGAAATATTGCAGAAAATGTGAAAATTATTTTAAAAAAAGAATGTCAGCATAATGAACAGTTTGTCCATGCAATGTCTGGTGAATAAGTTACAACCTATTAATATCAAAAGTAGCTTTATTTGCTGAAGTTTGTGCTTGGGTTCCAGTTTGCTCTCATAAAGACACCAAAATGAAGTTTCTGATTAAAGCTGAGTGTTTATATCACATTTTTGACAGACATTTCTCAAGCAGATATGTGTTTCTTCCCTGCAGACTTTTTGTTTTCCCTAACTCAGCTCTTTCACTTCCAGGCTCAGTTTCTCTTCTGCAAACTTAGTTCAGATTGAGGGCCAACCGGTGGTGTAACCTTGAAATTTAGCACATTGTGCATTTCTTACACTCAAAAAAAGACATTAGGTAAGCAGGCAAAGTGTCTTTCCCACGTCCACGAATGAGTCAGACCAGTTCTGAACTTTTTTCACATTTTGTGATGCTACAACCACAAATTTAAATAGTTTTGTGTGACAATATATAAGGGCGATGCTGTTTTATAAATGTGACTGGCCACAACAAAACCACAAACAGGTCTGTATGGGACATTTTGAGTTATTTAAAGTTTCTTAAACTGTGGATTCTGAGCTCTACAATGATGTTAAAAACATAAAAATAATAATAAAAAGTTGTTTTACTACAAAGAACAGTGACATCAATAAGTATTCCTGGCTCTGTTTTCTTCCTTCAGCTTTTCTTTTGGGTGACCTGTTTTCAAGCCACTTATTTATTATTATTTTTAACCCCAATCGTTCGGTAAGCTTAAGGAAAAATGACGCAACGGCAATTGTTCATATTGGGTTGAAAATCACAGTGAATTGTTTTTATTTTAATAAGTACATTTTAAAACAGAATGAAAAATGACAATATTTTACAATAATGAGCATGAAATTTAATATTCATTCAGTTATTACACCATTGCATTGTCATATATTTATCTGTTATTTATTAAAGTAATTTCTTGTTTTACAATGTAGTAGCTTGTTATTTAATTTTGAGCATTTTGAGGTTCTATAGTAGTTTACATATTTTTGTGATTACATGTTTATATCTTGTTCCCTGAAAACCTTTACTGGCAGGTGGGCAGGGTCATCTGACCATCATTACACTGAACACGCATCGGCACAGAGCCAACCCGTCTTTTACCTCTTAGACAAACAAATGAAAGGTGATCCTCATGTGGTACATACATCTTAGTTGCATCAAAAAATCTAAAGTCAAGGCCATGTTGACTCAATAATTCCTCGTTCACAGTGCATGGTTCTGAAAAACAAAAACAAAGACAGAAAAATAGAATTAACTTTGTTTCATAAACTAATAAAATGTATAATTACCAATATTTTTACATTTGCTTTTAAGTATTTATCAAATGTTTTGAGAAGTAGATTCTGTTTCTAAGCTGAAGACGCGGATAAATAATCCTCTGCAAGTTACTTCTTACATTTTGCTTCTTTTCTGTCTAATCATGAATCATAATAAGAATTACAAAAAGCAGCTTATGTTCCAACCTCTTTTTATGTTATTAAAACCATACAGAATTCTTTTTGAAACATTATTGTTACTCCTTTGATTTCTACTTTTGTTATTTGGCATTTAAGTTTATGTCATTTGTTCGTACAATTAGAAAAACACAATTTCTATAAATAGAAGGAGTGTGTAAAATACAGAAATTAGAAAATAAACACCAATAAAAATATATATTTTATAAATATGCATACTATTTCTAGATACTTTGAAAGTACAGATAACTTAATGCTGTTTGTCTTTTATTTATTTTTATCACTTTAAACAAAACCTTTCTTTTAAAAAAAGGGTTTCTGGTTTGTTATGCAACTGTACTTTTTATTATTCTTGATTACAGCTGTAAGATTCAAAATAATAAGCAGCAGTGGTTTTTAAATACATAATTAGAACAGCAGAAATATCACAGTGTGCAAAATGAAATGTTGAAATTGAACTTACTCATGCATCTCATGTTTCCTTCCCATACACCGTTGTTGCAGGTTTGAAATGGGTCACCGTTCATAATGTACTTATTCTGACAGATATATTCAACTTTGTCACCAGTTTGATAAACTGCATCTGATCTGAGAACTAATTTGGTGTCTCCATCTTCAAGAAGTGGTGGTGCTGAACATTGTACAGCTGAAAGAATGTGAACAAAGAGAAAAAAAGTGATTTGAAATTGTGCTTAATTCATTAATTTGATAGCATTTAGGGGCTATATTATTAGTTGTTTGCATTCTGACATAAAAAATGAATTGCTGCCCAGGGCATTTAATCTAGAACACTGCAGTGACTTTTCTACATCTACAAAGAGTACAAAGAGAGACAATCTGTTGTCTTTTTAATTCATTATATTACTGTTTATGCTTAAATGTTGCTTTACCCACAGAGTTTGAAAATCTCTTCTTTTTTCTTTGCACCATGTGGAGACTTATTGGTCAAAAAGAAAAAGTGCATCTGTCAACACATTTTCTTGAACTGATGTAAAAATAAAAAACTAAATTCTATTTTTTCTTCTTTTTAGCACCATTTCTTCTCACCTGGACACATTTCAGATATTGTCCACTTGCCACTCTGACATGTTGCGTTGCCTTCTTTATTTGCACCAGGCCTAGTGCATTCATATTGAACCACTTCTCCTTCCATGTAACTTTCTTTAATCATGTCTGCCCTCACTTTCAGTCGGGGATCACTGAGCTTCTCACACAAAGCTGCAACACATTAAGACAGTTTTGTTACAATTAGCATCACAGAGGTTATTTCAAAGGGCAGGCACTCCTCTAAATCACTTGGAAGGCCTTATTTTGTGCTTCAATTCATGCCAATTGAAATGTTTTTATATAGCTGGTAAACCACAGACTTAAAAGTAATTTGAATATTTTACAATAGCAAAAAATAGAGGTTTGATGAAAATGATTAATAATATCTACTGGCAGAAATCCAGTCAGACTTCTTTTGGTCCATTCAGATCATAATATGTCATATATTTGGTATAATTTTACTAAACTGCAGTTTAGTCGAATTTTCTGCAAGTGTTTCTTTGATTTTCTCTGCAGAAATTATGAAAATACTAGGTACGTACACAATAATTGAAGATCGCAGGAATTGAATGGTTTACTTACAAACATAAAGAGACATAGAAAGGGAGGAAATCATAACCCAGTCCTAAAACAATGCCATAGCTTCTTCTTGTTCAAGTCAAGCTAGTTTTTCTATTAACATCTTAAATATCCCAAAATCATCATGTAAGACTATAAAGCTGTAACCAAATATTTGAACAAACTTTTCTGATGTCATCAATTAAAATTATGTCTAATAAATGCTGGACAAATGAAACAGTATTTTTAACGTTTATTACTTCTTCTTAGCATGTTTAAGTGTGTTATTTTACACTGCTATCATGTTTGAAATAAATAAATAAATATATATATATATATTTTTTAAACTTTCTTCAAATTCAAATGCTTTTTCACATGGACTCTTTACACGTGACGTCACTCTCGAGCTGTCAGCCCTCGGTGTAACAGCGGATTTACAAGGTACAAAGATTAACTTTCATATACTTTATAAGTAAGTAATTAAGTATGATTTGTTCGACTTGAACAAGTAGAAACAATGAATAAACTGGCAAAAGCAACTTGTCAGTTTAGTGTAACAGAGAGCAAAGTGTGTACATGTCTGTGTGAATTTTGCCCAAAATAATGAAGGTTGTGTTTGTTTTTGATGAGATTTTTGAGTAATGCCATGTTTTGGAGCCACCTAGTGGTGTGATAACGGACTGCATGTGGCGGTTCCTTCAGGCGCTCTCGCGGCTTCCCTCACCAGAATTCAGCCGAGTGCTGCTGGAGGTAGGTGCGAGAGACGCAGCTCTTCATTATTTTTTTACTTGGGGTCATATTTTTCTGGTTCAGTACTTAACAAAATACTATAATAACAATTGACATCTATAAATATAATTTATAAAGTTTTGTCGTGGTTGGGCTGGAAAAATATGACCCTATGTGTGAGAACTGCGTCAGTTGGTGTTCCTGGTTGACCAAACAGTCATGACGCTAACTATATCTTTTGTTTTTCAGCTGAGGGACCACTCGCATGTTTAAGAAATCCTTGAGTCAGGTCTTGAAGATTTGTCTTTTTTTATCACTCTAGGTGGGTTCTGGTTATAAAAACATATGTATACATGTACAAAAATATATATAGAAATGTTTTCCAAATGTTATAACTGTTATCTGTTGGCTGCGATGGCAGTTATCTGTTATTTTACTGTTGGTTTTGTTGAAGTTATTTTGGAATGAGAATGTTTTGTTTTGATTTGAACCCTTTTGTTATGATCGGGTCAATTTGACCCCTTTCAATTTTTGAGTTGACCAAAGTGGAGGTTATTCTTATTTTTTTTTCCATGAAATTTTGTGACTTTTCCTCATCTAGGGTCATGAACTTCTGAGTAAAATATGGAGTCTTTGATGTGTTGAGAAGTGTCTGCACACAATTTGTGTACAAAGATGATGTTGTGGTCATTTTGACCCAGACATAAAGTAGTCGTTTAAATACAAAAAAACATGCGATTGGTTTTGATTGCCTCAGAATAGCTATTGAGAACCAGGTGTGTGTGGAGGAGGGACTTTCCCTTCCCTCTCCTTGTCACTTTTACATGCCCTTTCTTTGAGAGATATATCCAAAATGAGCTCCAGAAGATTTACAGCTGAAGAAGCTTCATTGAAGATTTTGAATTGGGATAGCGATGTCGATGAAGAAATTTCAGAGACGGAAGATCCTTCAGAGCCAGAGGACAATGCCGTTGATGATCCAGATTGTCATTTTTTTCAAGATGAGGAGGATTCAGAGGACGATTCTTCATCAGATGAAAATCAAGAAATGCAACAATCCTCATTCACAAAGAGGACGTGGACATCTAAAGATGGTAAGATAAGATGGTCATCATCACCACCACACCAAAGCCAAGGCAGATTGTCATCTTCTAATGTCATCAAAATGACTCCTGGTCCAACAAGATTTGCCATCACAAGAGTTAATGACATTGAATCAGCATTTCAGCTTTTCATATCCCCACCCATAGAGAAGATAATTCTTGAGATGACCAACTTGGAGGGGAGACGTGTCTTTCAAGAAAAATGGAAACAACTGAAAGATTTGTCTTTTTTTTTTTATCACTCTAGAGAAAGTTACACAAGCACACGGCCATGTTCAATCTGAGGGACGGAACATCTTATTGCTGTTGACATCAAGCACAAGCGTTACCAATTTTAATGGAAAAGTAGACTGATAATTAAGCCTTTCAATCAGTTTGAGATTTGATTGGCTTATTGTTAAAACATATTACGAAGTTATATAGGGAGGTGCTATATAAAATCATCTTTTTTGAGTGTTTTATTGTATTATGTTGTAATTCAGTTAACAAAACATACACAAGCTGTTGCTTTTATTCTTTTAATGCATGTTTAGGAAATCCTTGAATCTGCCATGGCAGCTAAACCAGCGTGCCTAAATACTTACACTCCAGCTTTCATGTAACAGACCACCTGTCCCTCACTTTTTTCCCATGCAGCTCCTCCAGACTAGCAGCAGCAGCAATTGACAAACACCTGGTATAATTGTGAGTCCGCTGAGCTCAAAATATGAACTACCTCTCAATCGAATGCTCTTAAGAACGGCTGTAAAAGCCATAAAGGCTAAGATTGTTGTGATGAACTGCTGAAGGCGAAATGTCGGAAAGATGAAAATGTTCTTAAAGTCAAGGGGCCAATTTCAAAGCGTCAGATTGTGAAATAAATTTTTTTTTGTTTTCTTTGGTACATGCAACATTTTTAAAACAACTGAAGGAAACAGTTTGTTGATTGCACTATAAAATTGCAGGTATTGCCTGGAAAAATATTTCCTTCATTTAGTAAATAGTATCAAACATATTTTAAAGTAATAAAATATATTATTTAAGTCTTGAATTTAACAGTTTTAAACTTATGCTGCTAGGTTAAAACATATCTGCAATAATGCTATATTTAATAAAAGCTTTTCATATATTTGGTGATGTTTAGTTTCAACGTCTTACCATACCTTTGCATTTTGGAACAAATGTTATTACTGTTATCTGTTGGCTGCGATGGCAGTTATCTGTTATTTTACTGTTGGTTTTGTTGAAGTTATTTTGGAATGAGAATGTTTTGTTTTGATTTGAACCCTTTTGTTATGATCAGGTCAATTTGACCCATTTCAATTTTTGAGTTGACCAAAGTGGAGGTTATTCTCATTTATTTTCCATAAAATTTTGTGACTTTTCCTCATCTAGGGTCATGAACTTCTGAGTAAAATATGGAGTCTTTGATGTGTCATCCTTGCAATAAATCTCTTGTGACCCAGACAAGATTTCTGCATTTGACTTGCAGCTAAACTGAACAACATTGCCAGATGTGGCTTCTTCTGCATCCCCGAAAATATGTACATTATTGTCTGCATGAATGACTGGACATTTTATGGCTGGAATGACAAAAGTTGAAACACAAGACAAGGAAAGCTTAATACACATAGCGATCCACAATAAGACAAAAAAGTAACTTTTTAGGAAGATACATTGGAGTTTGTTTCAAGTTAGTAATTCCATAACATTGATGAAAAAGTACTTTTTCAACTGGCAGGTTATTTCACTTATAGAAAAAATGTCTTGTGATAAGTAAAATAATCTGACAGTGCACTGAAAACATACTAAAAATGGTTGGTATGTAAGACTTTGTGTTTTTGCAGTGTAACAAAAAGTGCAGTAAACAATAATTTATTCCATTCTTATTTAAAGGTTTTAAATGCTGCCTTATTTTCTTTAGTTCTGATCAATAGCTATGTTTACATTAGAAATGTGCACAAAGGAACACAATTAAAATCACATGTGAATAAGTTTGTTCACACAATAAGCCATCTCAACTACTTCCTGCTGTCTTCTTCTTCCTGGTTTGTACCAGTGTAACATCCTGTTGTTGAAAATGTGTGACGTGACAAAAAGGTTTTTCCAATGCAGTTTTGTGAAATAAATCAAATTTAATATGGTAAAAAAAATCCCTCCTCATCCTATTGCCAAAACTCTTTAATAAGAAAGATTTTTGTTTTCAAAAAATGTTTCCATTAAACAAAATTTAAGATGATTTATTATAAAAATTCTATGTCATAAGTCACAACATAAGTATATTATTTATATTATACATGGGTGTGTCATCTTTGACAAGCTGAAAACATAGACATTAAATAGACTCACAAACTGCTTTACTACAGGCAGAGAAATGTTGCTGTGTCTTTTGTTTTTTTTTTTTTTTTTTTAAAGAAAGTGGCATTCTCATTCATATTCACAAAAAATTAACTTCATATTCAACTCGTACCTTCACACACTGGAATGATGCCATCCCAGCCATCTGCCAAGCAGCGCCTGCGGTTAAACCGACTGACCATCTGATAACTGTAAAACATTTTTAATGAAAGTCGTGAGAATGCTCACAATAAAACTCACAAAGAGAAAGGAACTTCTTTTTTTTTTATATCATACCCTCTGTTGCACTCATAAATAATTTGAGATCCAAACACAAAATCATCTCCTTGCACAAGTCGGAAATCTGCATATGGTGCATCTCCGGGATGTCCGCATGATTTCGCTTAAAATAACATGAGAACAAAACATGGGTAAATATTCTGTGGTAGAAAAAAAGTAAGATAAAAATGTTTAAACTTACGTTCACATTTTTTGCCAGCAGTCATCCAGTTCCCCTCAGAACAGATCAACCTGAAAAAGCCAGTATAGCCAGAACTGCAGGGAACTCTCACTAGTTTTCCTTCTCTGTAAGTGGCATCCAAACTACTTATGTCAAAATTTGAGTCAAAGTGAGCGCTCTTTATAAACTGTTCCAGTGTACAGTCTGTGTGATGGCAACAAACAATTTCAGTGAGTTTCTAGCAATAACAGATCATCAAACAATCAATGCAAAATAGTTTAAAATTCAAAAGGATGAGCGGAACTACTAGGACTTACCTTGGGATGATACAGAAGTCATTAATTGCGACCACAACAGTAGGACGCAGCTTCTCGTTATCATGTGCATTTTAACCTTCTACTCTGAACCGCCAAACAGAGCGAGGCACAACAGACAGCTACACTGTTATACAGAGAAGGAGCTGTGGATTTCACAAGAGAGAGAGAGAAAAGAAGATTGCTCAATGATTGTGTAGTGGTTATAAAACTATTTCAAACAACGAAAAAGGAAAACAAGATCTAATGATCTGCGATCGATTATTCTGGTCTCTCAAGTTCAGCACTACAGGCAGATAAACGGTACAGATACGACAAAAGGTAGCCTAAGTTTAAAGAAGTTAAAAGAAATTTACTTTTTATTACTGTTACTTTTCTTTGTTGCTTTTCCGCCTATGTTTGTTTGTGGTTCTTGAAAAGTCTAACCTTTTGAATCGAATGTTTTGAGAGTTTGTTGGTCGTTCGGGGCTCGATTGTTTTGTCTGTTGGAATGTAGGGGACGTAACGGTTATGCTCCATTATAACACCGGACATGCAAAGAGTAACATTGTGTCCGTGTTTTCATTACTCCCCTTTTATAGAGGCGTAACAATTGCACAAGTGGGTTCAGTCTCCAATCCCTAAATCACAGATAAAAAAAAAGGAAATGACCAAAAACAGACCCTTAAATCATGCACCAGCTCCTCAATAGACAAACATAATTTTATTTTATATACTTTCAAAAATAAGTTTGGATTAAAAGTCTGGGAATGGTTAAGCAAATAGGACATCAAATCAACAGTTTTTAAATAGTAATCCTTTTAGTACATAACTGCAAGCCCCGGTTTGGTAATTTTTCCATCAATAACTCTGAAGTAGAAAAAAAAAACATGTTTTCCTGTAATGTTTTGTTTATATTGTTTTCTACTTTACTGGCAATCATTTGCAGGAATCAATTAAGCAAACAAAACTCACTGCATTTCAAGAACCAGTTCAATAGATTTTATTCAACGTAAATCAGATTTAATTTAGATGAAAATAAGTTTTTCTCATACACTAAAAAGCAACATCATCAGGGTTTAAGATATAGTTTCAAATGCACTTGAGTTGTGCTTTAGAGAAATTAAGAACTGCCATAGAAAAAGTTTTAAAAACAAACAGAAGATTGACTGTGTGACCTGAGTTTAAAAAACAAATAAAACTGAACGTTCATGTTGAGCAATGCAGGATTTACCCATCTTTCTCAATACTTCATGCCGTTTGTACAACTTCTTTGAACTAAACGAAAAAAACTTTACTTAAAAAACTACTCTCATAAAAACTAATTTCTTAAACACAGATGAAATTAAATTACATTAAAAAAAATCAGTATATGAAATCCCAAGGAGCTCTAGAAACCAGGAAATCATTTCTGAGAATATTAACAGTATCTATTTTCCTCTGTCATCCATTTATAACATAGTTTGGTCTTGTCTTTTATTCACAACATATTTTGTTAATTATTTGAGTTAATTAGTGGTTTCCCTTGACAGTTTCCTGGAAATAGATGTGAGTTTTGCAAACGGCCTTGCCTCAGTTACTGCTGACAATGCAGAAAGAAAAAGTTGAATGCGGGTTCATGCTTGCCTAACAATGCTCTGCAAAGACTGCATAAGTCTTATCAAGCAAATGTTTAACATTTCGGCATGAAAATATTCACAAAATGTTAAATGCGTCACGTTGTGAACAGACTTGTCATGAGTTTGAAACAAGCTGAGTCGACTCTGTTGCATTTGTTTTAATTTGTTGCCAGATGCACACAAATCCACACCGACTACAATCTGAACAAGAGCTGAACAAAATGCTTTCATCATTACATTAATTTAAAATGACATGACTTGTTTAAGCTTTACAAGTAATTGTGCTCCTGTTCTTTTTTTGGTCAGAATATTTCCGTGCTTGCTGGTCTAAGTTACATTTCTGCCTCCAGCTAGTCTTACGAAATCGAGGCTTTTTTTTTTAAATGAAGTAAAAATTTTTGACTATTTTGTGTTGAGTTGTGACAAAATCTGTGAAAGTTTTCTGAACCAAACTCTGAAGACTGAGATGTATGATGAGAGTTTGAACAAAAAGGCAGCAGAAGATGGACTGACAGACCAGAAGAGACTTTGTTCCGGAGACAATGTCTCATTTTTTGGACTAATTAACCTGCAGATTTAGTTGGTTTGATTTGTTCACTGTAGGCTTTGTTCTTGCTCATCATGTAAACTTTTAAAATTAATTAAATTGTGAACTTTTTAAATTCAGTCCCAGAAGAGATGCACCAGCTCTGAGGGACTTTCTCGGCTGAACAACAGCTGTGTGTTGAGATATTCCCTAACAGCAGCGTCAGAGATGGAAGAGTGAAAACTACACCTGCTGAAGTCCAAATTCAGTTCCCGAAGAGAAGTGACATCATAAACTGATTTGAGACCAGAGTAAAACACTTTTCATCAGTTTTATTGGCGGCCAGAGACGATGGAGCCGAGGTAGAACACTACAAACCTTCTTTTCTTACTTTCTTTTCTCACATATGTATTTGTAGTTATGTGTACATTTTAACTTTAAATGTCTACAAGCAATTAATAGAGTATGTCTGAAAAGTGCAGGACGTTCATATCTTGTTTAATCTGTTTTACGTCATCGCCACAAACTGCACACATTTCCATTTATTGGATGAACAGTGACACTCTGAGGAGGTTAAGAGATGTTACACCACATTACAGAATTAAAAACCAAAATATATATTATTCTCTTTTGTATCTATCTTGATCTGTGCTGTGCTTTTAGATCAATAAATGTATTGACTTTCTTTATTTTTCCTTTTTCTTAATCACAAAAATAATTTCTGGGACACAGACCTCCAAAAAGATCATGACATGTGCCGATTGGTTTCGTAAATGTATTTGTGAAATGACTTAGTCACTAAAGTGTTTCTGTAATAGGGCAGTCCAATGTTATACTTTCACTGTTTAAACTGGAGATTTGTTAAAAATGTGAGACAGATTAAATTATTGCAATATGGAAGAACACAAAAGTGCATTTTTTTGTGTTTTGTTTTTACAAGTTTTGTGAAAGAAATCAGTTGAAAACAATGTTTACGAGCCAGTCTATGTAAAAATGCAAATGTAAGGTTGAAACAGAGGATGGATTTCTCCCTGTACCTTTACACTCAACCCCACAGGAACTGACAGTGCAACATGTATGCATTTACTGAAAGATTTTATTTAGTTTTAAAATGACATAAATCCTAAAACAGCTCATAGACAGTACTGACCGGAATAAAATATCATCTAATATTTTCTGCAAAACAAGTTGTGAACATGTTTTGTACAGACCATGTACCTACACTATCCTGTTCAAGAAATCACAGTAGGTCCCCTTCATTAATACTTTTTTTTTTTTATTACAGCCAACAGTGCCCAGTGTGGCATAATGTAAAAAGCAATATGATAAACAACTAATAGCTCAATGCAGAATGGACCAAAACTGTCATCAAGCCAGCAATTTTAAAAATGGCGACCTTCATGGATGAGAAATGTAACATTTTTGAAGTAATTAATTATTAGTTAATTGGAAAATTACCACACATTTAGGTCAACACGTTCAACTAATCCTGTATCTTTAAAGAAAAGAATAAAAATGCAGAGTCCCATAGTGACCATTAGGGGGCGCAGAGGTACCTGTTTTGTTGCTGAAGCTTTTGATGAACAAACTGAGGAACTTGTTTTTTTTTTGTGTAATTAAAAAAATGTCAAAGTATTTAATTCAGGAGAATAATGAATCACAAGAGAGCAAATAAAAAACTCCTTTATGATCGTCATCAGCTTATGTTGCTCTGCTTTAAAGCTTAGGGAGCTTCTGTTTTTGTGTTAAATGTCAAGATGTGAACGTTTCATTTGTTGACTCATTCAATGAAGATCTTCAAAAATATATTTTATTTGAGTAATTAAGCTCATGGTCCAAATTAATTTTAGCAACGGGACGATATTAATGAACATTGACATGGAATACATGAGATTATATAACAAATATAATGGCCAATAAGATATAAGCAGCCATAAAATCCAAAAATATTAGCGTATGTTAGTTGTTTTTATTTTTTATGATAAATTTATTTATTTTTCATTTTTTTGCTTTCTGAGCCTGTTTTTAAGGCGGTTCCTAAATGAAATGAGAAGGGTCCTTTTTGATGCTTGGAATGTAAAAAAAAAAGTGGCAATGTCAAGAAATATTGCAGAAAATGTGAAAATTATTTAAAAAAAAGAATGTCAGTATAATGAACAGTTTGTCCATGCACTGTCCAGTGAATAAGTTACAACCTATTAATATCAAAGGTAGCTTTATTTGCTGAAATTTGTGCTTGGGTTCCAGTTTGCTCTCATAAAGACACCAAAATGAAGTTTCTGATTAAAGCTGAGTGTTTATATCACATTTTTGGCAGACATTTCTCAAGCAGATATGTGTTTCTTCCCTGCAGACTTTTTGTTTTCCCTAACTCAGCTCTTTCACTTCCAGGCTCAGTTTCTCTTCTGCAAACTTAGTTCAGATTGAGGGCCAACCGGTGGTGTAACCTTGAAATTTAGCACATTGTGCATTTCTTACACTCAAAAAAGACATTAGGTGAGGCAAGCGAAGTGTCTTTCCCACGTCCACGAATGAGTCAGACCAGTTCTGAACTTTTTTCACACACTGACACAACCACAAATTTAAATAGTTTTGTGTGACAATATATAAGGGTGTTTTATAAATGTGACTGGCCACAACAAAACCACAAACAGGTCTGTATGGGACATTTTGAGTTATTTAAAGTTTCTTAAACTGTGGATTCTGAGCTCTCCAATGATGACAAACACAAAAATAATAATAAAAAGTTGTTTTACTACAAAGAACAGTGACTTCAATAAGTATTCCTGGCTCTGTTTTCTTCCTTCAGCTTTTCTTTTGGGTGACCTGTTTTCAAGCCACTTATTTATTATTATTTTTAACCCCAATCGTTCGGTAAGCTTAAGGAAAATGACGCAACGGCAATTGTTCCTATTGGGGTGAAAATCACAGTGAATTGTTTTTATTTTAATAAGTACATTTTAAAACAGAATGAAAAATGACAATATTTTACAATAATGAGCATGAAATTTAATATTCATTCAGTTATTACACCATTGCATTGTCATATATTTATGACAATGCTGGACCTAAAACCTCTCTCAGCGTTTTCTTTTTCATAGCCGGTACAATCTCCGTGTTGATGTCGACGTTGAGGTCAAACTTGAGGCTGAAACACTCTTTGCTGGGGTCATCAGTGTGTCGTCTCCTTAGCTTCTACTTAATTAAAGTTTCTTGTTTTACAATGTAGTAGCTTGTTATTTAATTTTGAGCATTTTGAGGTTCTATAGTAGTTTACATATTTTTGTGATTACATGTTTATATCTTGTTCCCTGAAAACCTTTACTGGCAGGTGGGCAGGGTCATCTGACCATCATGACAGTGAACACGCATCGGCACAGCCAACCTGTCTTTTACCTCTTAGACAAACAAATGAAAGGTGATCCTTATGTGGTGCATACATCTTAGTTGCATCAAAAAATCTAAAGTCAAGGCCATGTTGACTCAATAATTCCTCGTTCACAGTGCATGGTTCTGAAAATTAAAAACAAAAACAGAAAAATAGAATTAACTTTGTTTCATAAACTAATAAAATGTATAATTACTAATGTTTTTACATTTACTTTTAAGTATTTATCAAATGTTTTGAGTAGATTCTGTTTCTAAGCTGAAGATGCGGATAAATAATCCTCTGCATCTTATTTCTTACATTTTGCTTCTTTTCTGTCTAATCATGAATCATAATAAGAATTACAAAAAGGAGCTTATGTTCCAACCTCTTTTTATGTTATTAAAACCATACAGAATTCTTTTTGAAACATTATTGTTACTCCTTTGATTTCTACTTTTGTTATTTGGCATTTAAGTTTATGTCATTTGTTCGTACAATTAGAAAAACACAATTTCTAGAAATATTGATTATAGCTGTAAGATTCAAAATAATAAGCAGCAGTGGTTTTTAAATACATAATTAGAACAGCAGAAATATCACAGTGTGCAAAATGAAATGTTGAAATTGAACTTACTCATGCATCTCATGTTTCCTTCCCATACACCGTTGTTGCAGGTTTGAAATGGGTCACCGTTCATAATGTACTGATTCTGACAGATATATTCAACTTTGTCACCAGTTTGATAAACTGCATTTGATCTGAGAAATAATTTGGTGTCTCCATCTTCAAGAAGTGGTGGTGCTGAACAATGTACAACAGCTGAAAGAATGTGAACAAAGAGAAAAAAAGTGATTTGAAATTGTGCTTAATTCATTAATATGAACTACCTCTCAATCGAACGTTCTTAAGAACGGCTGTAAAAGCCATAAAGGCTAAGATTGTTGTGATGAACTGCTGAAGGCGAAATGTCGGAAGATGAAAATGTTTCTTAAAGTCAAGGGGCCAATTTGAAAGCGTCAGATTGTGAAATTAAATTTATTTTGTTTTCTTTGGTACATGCAACATTTTTATAACAACTGAAGGAAACAGTTTGTTGACTGCACTATAAAATTGATCATCTTTGGCCTGTATTAAAATTTGTTTTTGAGCACAAAAGGGAAAATCTCCACTTCAGATGAACGTACCTGAGCACAACGGGAAGGAAGCGTTCCATTGGCCGGTTGGTAAGCATTCAATTTCCCCTGAGCCGCTCAGCTGGTAACCAGGACCACAGAGAAAACGCAGCTTGTGTCCAGGTTTCAGTGTTGTGCCAGTCGATGTTAGTCCAGTTACATACAGATTAGTATCCAGTCCACCAATTTCACAAGTGTTCACTGAAAGTAAAACAGGAAGTTAATAAAATAGGAGAATATGTAAAACAATTATTATAAAAGAAACCTGAAAATATCAGGATCTGCATTAGTTTCCCCCTTAGAACGGCCATTTAACAGCCGTGCATTTTCTTTTTTGTCCGAGCCTCTTCCCATTACATAAGCGCTAACATACCTCTTTGAACCAAAGTACTTAACTGTACTGGTGTTATTTATTTATTTTTGGAAAATAAGTATCTCACAATTTAGGGAATTAACATAAATACTCATCATGGAGAATTTATATTACAGTGTTTCCATTGGCTCTGGTTCTGGCTGATTTAAAAAGATCTGACATTATGAAACTTGACATCAAAAAATGAACTAGAATAGAATAGAATATACTTTATTGGTCCCCAAGGGGAAATTGCTTATTTGTTGAAAGACACTCCATCTTAGGTAATAAATACAAAGTTTGTAAAATATATAAGTACACCTGAGAGTGAGAAGTTCAAAAAGACTACATATAGACAAATAAATAAATAACAAGCAATCACATGCAATATATTAATCAATAAATAACCTATAAATGTGTGCAAGATAAGTATCAGATAACTATAAGCTTCTTCTTCCCCACATGTAATAATTATCATATGTAGTTTATAGTTTTTGATGCATACTAGATACAAAACTCTGTTCAGAGCAACTTTGCCATGTTCGCCTTTGGCATAAAATTAACAACAAAAGACAAAGTTAATAATAATAATAATCTTTATGTAATGACTGACACACACCAGGCATTAATCTTTCAATGCAGTTAATGAAACATTGTTTCATGCATGTTTCTAACTCCTATATATAAGCAGATTGAGTCTGGAAGGTGCTATGTAAACAAAGTTGCCTTGCCTGAAATAAAACCTTCTTTGTGTTTTCTATAACAATGGCTTTAAAACATGAATAAAAAACAGTTTCTTACCGTTCTGTGACCAGGAAAATTTCACACTTAGAAACACCTGGAGAACCAGGAATATAAACCGCAGAGGCTTCATTGCCTGTGTTGACTTGATGTTTTCTGAGGAAAAGTTTACTGAGGTTGCCCCACTTTTAATTCAGCTGCAGCTCCAAAGGGCGACATGAACAGCCCACATTTACTTCACTGTTTTTCTTCCACCAAGATGAACCCGCCACTCACATCCTCACACATTTATCAAGACTTAAATGGATTCCATCAAAAAAACAACAAACAGTTAGGTTGATCTTCTCTGTTTAACTATAACCTTTAACTATAACCTTTGATTATTTCTAAGAATCTTGAGAATTTGTTTTGCTTATCAACTTTTGAAGGTCAGACTGGATTGGTTACCGTAAAGCCAAACTTTCTGTCTGAACTGTTAGTTAATCATGTACATTTTTGTTTGCTTGGTTATCTTGCAAACATTTATTTAAAATCCCCTGGTGCCTTTACCTGGTTTTCATGAAGGACAGTGGAGTCAGTATTGTGAAACTTAAGCAATTTAGTGGTAAGATGAAGATCAATACATAAAGATACACTGTCTTGTGTAGTTTTCTCAAACATAATTTTATATAGCGCTTTAGCAAATGCTGAGAGATGTAGTACAATATAAAATAAAAGTTTTGCTGATAAAAGTTATGTAAAAACTTAAATAGTCCAAGCTTAAAATCCTCTCTTTCCACATAGAGTAGCCAACATTAGAGTTGAATCTGGAATCCTTTCTCTTCATTACTAACAGGGATCTTCCAGCCAAGATGGACAAATTCTCCTCAAAAAGGGCAAACAAACAAAATTGATAACCCAAGTCTCAGGCTGTGTTCACACTGCAGCCTGATGTGACCTAATTCAAATTTTTCTTCTTGCTTTAATGAGACTTATCTAATCTTTTTATGACAATCTGAACAACAAAGGTAGGATTTTTTTTAATGCGACCCAGAGTGCTTGGCTAACCGATGCTTATCTGATCTGAATCCTAACGGCCAGGTCCTGAACGTTATTTATTCTCAACAAAAGTTCCTACTCAGCGCCCTGATACGCTCAAGAGAGAAGAAAAACAACAACTATGGAGGACAAGACTGAGTTTTAAGTTGTCACTGTGCTGGTTCTGGTCGTACAGCAACTTCAAAATCACAACCTGTGCTCCATCGTTAGCATCCATGTTTACTACTGCAAAGGCTGAGCACTTCTTCCTCTTTCTGACGATTAGCAAAACACTGAACACTCTCTATTCTTACATTGTTATTGCGGCCTCGACTGCACATGTGGGGCACTTTCAGGTCATTTGGAGTTCACACTGGAGAACACATACAAGTCGCGACTGTGAGGATTTGGGTTTTTCTCTGTGTTAATTTAGGTTTCTGTGTCGTTTTCAGTTGTTCTGTCTAGTCCTTGATTATTCCCAGCTGTGTCTCGTTACCCTCTGTGTATTTAATCCCACTGTGTTCCTGGTTCCTTGTCGGATCTGTTATATCAAGCCTTGTTGCGGTTTAGTTTTTTGTCAGAGGTCCACTGTTACCAGTTGCTGCCAGTTTTGAGCCTTCGCCTTCCGTTCATCAAAAAAAATCCAGTTTGATAAAAAATCTGAATAGTGCAGTGTGAATGTAGCCTTACACTCTAAGCAGCTCAAATCCACAATAATTCCCTTCTAATGAGATGTTTTGGACATAGTAATAATAAATCATCACTAATGTAAAAAAAAAAAATCAACATTTTGCATCCTATGTTCTAGAACAGTGGTTCTCAAACTTTTTTTAGTGATGTACCCCCTTAAAAATATATTTTTAGTCAAGTACCCCGACACTGGCAAAACATTTTTGGAAGAAAAAACAGTGCTGTGGGGCTGCACAGTGGGTAGCGCTGTTGCCTTGCAGCAAGAAGGTCCTGGGTTCGATTCCCGGCCCGGGTCTTTCTGCACAGAGTTTGCATGTTCTCCCTGTTGGGTTCTCTCCACGTTCTCCAGCTTCCTCCCACAGTCCAAAAACATGACTGTCAGGTTAATTGGCCTTCCCAAATTCTCCCTAGGTGTGAGTGTGCATGGTTGTTTGTCTTTGTGTTGACTGGCGACCTCTCCAGGGTGAACCCTAAAACTTAATTATAAATAAGTTATATTTTGTTTACAAAATAAATTAACTTTATAAATAAAGATTTGCTCACAAAAAAAACAATAAACGTTACCTCTTTTCGGATAAAAAAAGAAGATTGCACTTTAATCACTTTGCATTGAACATTTGATTCGGTTTGAACAGTAAGTAACGGTGTCATTAGACACAGTTTTTAATGAATCCGCTGATTTTTTGTGCAGCATAGTTTCAACTGCAGCGGGCAGCAGCAGGTCTTCCGCTATGGTGAACGGTTTTTTAGCTTTGGCTGATGTAGTGGAGGCTTTTCGCATTGTGGCTTTGAATGACTTGAACTGAGAAAGTTTTCTCCTGAAGAACTCCGGTGACTTACCAACATGGCGTCCATGTTTTGTGGTGAGATTCCGGAGGTGTGCCGGCTGCATGCTAGCGTTGGCTAATTTCTCCCCGCAAAAAAACAAAAAACAAAACACAGTGCCTGGGGGGTCAGAGATCGTGGACGTAAATCCCATTAAAACATACTTTTCCATGTATGTTCTGTACTTCGTCGGCTCTCGTTTTGCCTTCTTTTTCACTTTATCTGAACTTTCAGCAGCATTGCTGCTAGCTTCAGCCACGTCTCCATAGTTACAGTGTAGTCATGGTAACAGTGCGCTGGGTCCATTTTATTTTAAAGGATATTGAAACTAAATACTGAATATAAAATTCAGTGCATGAACACACATTTAAATTATTGTAAATTATTTTACAAAATAATTTTTCCCAAGACTTATTGTGAGGAACCGACTGATTTTTTAAAGATATTTTGAAAAGCTTCACGTACCCCCTGCAGTACCTCCACGTACCCCCAGGGGTACGCGTACCCCCATTTGAGAACCACTGCTCTAGAATATAAAATATAAAATGGAAAATCATCTTGCCATCACAACAAAATATCTTCTGATAAATGATCATTTCAGTTCGATCTGCTAGAGCAGTGTTTCTCAAATTTGTTCAGGCTGCGGACAAACACGCACAGACCATTTGACTTGAAACTGACCCATAATGACACAACCTATGTACAACCTGAAATGAAAAAATTAGTCTCTGGACTAATATGTAAGTAGTTTTGTGTGACAATATATAAGGGTGATGCTGTTTCATAAATGTGACTGGCCACAACAAAACCACAAACAGGTCTGTATGGGGCATTTTAGTTATTTAAAGTTTCTTAAACTGTGGATTCTGAGCTCTCCAATGATGTTAAAAACATAAAAATAAAAAATAAGCTGTTTTACTACAAAGAACAGTGACATCAATAAGTATTCCTGGCTCTGTTTTCTTCCTTCAGCTTTTCTTTTGGGTGACCTGTTTTCAAGCCACTTATTTATTATTATTTTTAACCCCAATCGTTCGGTAAGCTTAAGGAAAAATGACGCAACGGCAATTGTTCCTATTGGGGTGAAAATTACAGTGAATTGTTTTATTTTAATAAGTACATTTTAAAACAGAATGAAAAATGACAATATTTTACAATAATGAGCATGAAATTTAATATTCATTCAGTTATTACACCATTGCATTGTCATATATTTATCTGTTATTTATTAAAGTAATTTCTTGTTTTACAATGTAGTAGCTTGTTATTTAATTTTGAGCATTTTGAGGTTCTATAGTAGTTTACATATTTTTGTGATTACATGTTTATATCTTGTTCCCTGAAAACCTTTACTGGCAGGTGGGCAGGGTCATCTGACCATCATGACAGTGAACACGCATCGGCACAGAGCCAACCCGTCTTTTACCTCTTAGACAAACAAATGAAAGGTGATCCTCATGTGGTACATACATCTTAGTTGCATCAAAAAATCTAAAGTCAAGGCCATGTTGACTCAATAATTCCTCGTTCACAGTGCATGGTTCTGAAAAACAAAAACAAAGACAGAAAAATAGAATTAACTTTGTTTCATAAACTAATAAAATGTATAATTACTAATGTTTTTACATTTGCTTTTAAGTATTTATCAAATGTTGTGAGAAGTAGATTCTGTTTCTAAGCTGAAGAATAATCCTCTGCATCTTATTTCTTACATTTTGCTTCTTTTCTGTGTAATCATGAATCATAATAAGAATTACAAAAAGCAGCTTATGTTCCAACCTCTTTTTATGTTATTAAAACCATACAGAATTCTTTTAGAAACGTTTTCGTTACTCCTTTGATTTCTACTTTTGTTATTTGGCATTTAAGTTTATGTCATTTGTTCGTACAATTAGAAAAACACAATTTCTATAAATAGAAGGAGTGTGTAAAATACAGAAATTAGAAATAAACACCAATAAAAATATATTTTATAAATATGCATAGTATTTCTAGATACTTTGAAAGTACAGATAAGTTAATGCTGTTTGTCTTTTTTTTTATCACTAAACAAAACCTTTCTTTTAAAAAAAGGGTTTCTGGTTTGTTATGCATCTGTACTTTTATTATTCTTGATTACAGCTGTACGATTCAAAATAATAAGCAGCAGTGGTTTTTAAATACATAATTAGAACAGCAGAAATATCACAGTTTGCAAAATGAAATGTTGAAATTGAACTTACTCATGCATCTCATGTTTCCTTCCCATACACCGTTGTTGCAGGTTTGAAATGGGTCACCGTTCATAATGTACTGATTCTGACAGATATATTCAACTTTGTCACCAGTTTGATAAACTGCATCTGATCTGAGAACTAATTTGGTGTCTCCATCTTCAAGAAGTGGTGGTGCTGAACATTGTACAGCTGAAAGAATGTGAACAAAGAGAAAAAAAGTTTGAAATTGTGCTTAATTCACTAATTTGATAGGATTTAGGGGCTATATTATTAGTTGTTTGCATTCTGACATAAAAAATGAATTGCTGCCCAGGGCATTTAATCTAGAACACTGCAGTGACTTTTCTACATCTACAAAGAGTACAAAGAGAGACAATCTGTTGTCTTTTTAATTCATTATATTACTGTTTATGCTTAAATGTTGCTTTACCCACAGAAATTGAAAATCTCTTGTTTTTTCTTTGCACCATGTGGGGACTTATTGGTCAAAAAGAAAAAGTGCATCTGTCAACACATTTTCTTGAACTGATGTAAAAATAAAAAACTAAATTCTATTTTTCCTTTTTTTAGCACCATTTCTTCTCACCTGGACACATTTCAGATATTGTCCACTTGCCACTCTGACATGTTGCGTTGCCTTCTTTATTTGCACCAGGCCTAGTGCATTCATATTGAACCACTTCTCCTTCCATGTAACTTTCTTCAATCATGTCTGCCCTCACTTTCAGTCGCGGATCACTGAGCGTCTCACACAAAGCTGCAACACATTAAGACAGTTTTGTTACAATTAGCATCACAGAGGTTATTTCAAAGGGCAGGCACTCCTCTAAATCACTTGGAAGGCCTTATTTTGTGCTTCAGTTCATGCCAATCATTGAAATGTTTTTATATAGCTGGTAAACCACAGACTTAAAAGTAATTTGAATATTTTACAATAGCAAAAAATAGAGGTTTGATGAAAATGATTAATAATATCTACTGGCAGAAATCCAGTCAGACTTCTTTTGGTCCATTCTGATCATAGTCTGTCATATATTTGGTATAATTTTTCTAAACTGCAGTTTAGTCAAATTTTCTGCAAGTGTTTCTTAGATTTTCTCTGCAGAAATTATGAAAATACTTGCTACGTACGCAATAATTGAAGATCGCAGGAATTGAATGGTTTACTTACAAACATAAAGTGACATAGAAATGGAGGAAATCATAACCCAGTCCTAAAACAATGCCATAGCTTCTTCTTGTTCAAGTCAAGCTAGTTTTTCTATTAACATCTTAAATATCCCATAATCATCATGTAAGACTATAAAGCTGTAACCAGATATTTGAACAAACTTTTCTGATGTCATAAATTAAAATGATGTCTAATAAATGCTGGACAAATGAAACAGTATTTTTAACGTTTATTACTTCTTCTTAGCATGTTTAAGTGTGTTATTTTACACTGCTATCATGTTTGAAATAAATAAATATATATATATATATATATATTTTTTAAACTTTCTTCAAATTCAAATGCTTTTTCACATGGACTCTTTACACGTGACGTCACTCTCGAGCTGTCAGCCCTCGGTGTAACAGCGGATTTACAAGGTACAAAGATTAACTTTCATATACTTTATAAGTAAGTAATTAAGTATGATTTGTTCGACTTGAACAAGTAGAAACAATGAATAAACTGGCAAAAGCAACTTGTCAGTTTAGTGTAACAGAGAGCAAAGTGTGTACATGTCTGTGTGAATTTTGCCCAAAATAATGAAGGTTGTGTTTGTTTTTGATGAGATTTTTGAGTAATGCCATGTTTTGGAGCCACCTAGTGGTGTGATAACGGACTGCATGTGGCGGTTCCTTCAGGCGCTCTCGCGGCTTCCCTCACCAGAATTCAGCCGAGTGCTGCTGGAGGTAGGTGCGAGAGACGCAGCTCTTCATTATTTTTTTACTTGGGATCATATTTTTCTGGTTCAGTACTTAACAAAATACTATAATAACAATTGACATCTATAAATATAATTTATAAAGTTTTGTCGTGGTTGGGCTGGAAAAATATGACCCTATGTGTGAGAGTTGCGTCAGTTGGTGTTCCTGGTTGACCAAACAGTCATGACGCTAACTATATCTTTTGTTTTTCAGCTGAGGGACCACTCGCATGTTTAAGAAATCCTTGAGTCAGGTCTTGAAGATTTGTCTTTTTTTTATCACTCTAGGTGGGTTCTGGTTATAAAAACATATGTATACATGTACAAAAATATATATAGAAATGTTTTCCAAATGTTATAACTGTTATCTGTTGGCTGCGATGGCAGTTATCTGTTATTTTACTGTTGGTTTTGTTGAAGTTATTTTGGAATGAGAATGTTTTGTTTTGATTTGAACCCTTTTGTTATGATCGGGTCAATTTGACCCCTTTCAATTTTTGAGTTGACCAAAGTGCAGGTTATTCTTATTTTTTTTCCATGAAATTTTGTGACTTTTCCTCATCTAGGGTCATGAACTTCTGAGTAAAATATGGAGTCTTTGATGTGTTGAGAAGTGTCTGCACACAATTTGTGTACAAAGATGATGTTTTGACCCAGACATAAAGTAGCCCTTTAAATACATAATAAACATGCCTCTTTGATGTGATTGGTTTTAATTGCCTCAGAATAGCTATTGAGAACCAGGTGTGTGTGGAGGAGGGACTTTCCCTTCCCTCTCCTTGTCACTTTTACATGCCCTTTCTTTGAGAGATATATCCAAAATGAGCTCCAGAAGATTTACAGCTGAAGAAGCTTCATTGAAGATTTTGAATTGGGATAACGATGTCGATGAAGAAATTTCAGAGATAGAAGATCCTTCAGAGCCAGAGGACAATGCCGTTGATGATCCAGATTGTCATTTTTCCCAAGATGAGGAGGATTCAGAGGATGATTCTTCATCAGATGAAAATCAAGAAACGCAACAATCCTCATTCACAAAGAGGACGTGGACATCTAAAGATGGTAAGATAAGATGGTCATCATCATCACCACACCAAAGCCAAGGCAGATTGTCATCTTCTAATGTCATCAAAATGACTCCTGGTCCAACAAGATTAGCCATCACAAGAGTTAATGACATTGAATCAGCATTTCAGCTTTTAATATCCCCACCCATAGAGAAGAAAATTCTTGAGATGACCAACTTGGAGGGGAGACGTGTCTTTCAAGAAAAATGGAAACAACTGAAAGATTTGTCTTTTTTTTTATCACTCTAGAGAAAGTTACACAAGCACACGGCCATGTTCAATTTGAGGGACGGAACATCTTATTGCTGTTGACATCAAGCACAAGCGTTACCAATTTTAATGGAAAAGTAGACTGATAATTAAGCCTTTCAATCAGTTTGAGATTTGATTGGCTTATTGTTAAAACATATTACGAAGTTATATAGGGAGGTGCTATATAAAATCAACTTTTTTGAGTGTTTTATTGTATTATGTTGTAATTCAGTTAACAAAACATACACAAGCTGTTGCTTTTATTCTTTTAATGCATGTTTAGGAAATCCTTGAATCTGCCATGGCAGCTATTCCAGCGTGCCTAAATACTTACACTCCAGCTTTCACATAAGAGACCACCTGTCCCTCACTTTTTTCCCATGCAGCTCCTCCAGACTAGCAGCAGCAGCAATTGACAAACACCTGGTATAATTGTGAGTCTGCTGAGCTCAAAATATGAACTACCTCTCAATCGAACGCTCTTAAGAACGGCTGTAAAAGCCATAAAGGCTAAGATTGTTGTGATGAACTGCTGAAGGCGAAATGTCGGAAAGATGAAAATGTTCTTAAAGTCAAGGGGCCAATTTGAAAGCGTCAGATTGTGAAATAAAATTTTTTTTGTTTTCTTTGGTACATGCAACATTTTTAAAACAACTGAAGGAAACAGTTTGTTGATTGCACTATAAAATTGCAGGTATTGCCTGGAAAAATATTTCCTTCATTTAGTAAATAGTATCAAACATATTTTAAAGTAATAAAATATATTATTTAAGTCTTGAATTTAACAGTTTTAAACTTATGCTGCTAGGTTAAAACATATCTGCAATAATGCTATATTTAATAAAAGCTTTTCATATATTTGGTGATGTTTAGTTTCAACGTCTTACCATACCTTTGCATTTTGGAACAAATGTTATTACTGTTATCTGTTGGCTGCGATGGCAGTTATCTGTTATTTTACTGTTGGTTTTGTTGAAGTTATTTTGGAATGAGAATGTTTTGTTTTGATTTGAACCCTTTTGTTATGATCAGGTCAATTTGACCCATTTCAATTTTTGAGTTGACCAAAGTGCAGGTTATTCTAATTTATTTTCCATAAAATTTTGTGACTTTTCCTCATCTAGGGTCATGAACTTCTGAGTAAAATATGGAGTCTTTGATGTGTCATCCTTGCAATAAATCTCTTGTGACCCAGACAAGATTTCTGCATTTGACTTGCAGCTAAACCGAACAACATTGCCAGATGTGGCTTCTTCTGCATCCCCGAAAATATGTACATTATTGTCTGCATGAATGACTGGACATTTTATGGCTGGAATGACAAAAGTTGAAACACAAGACAAAGAAAGCTTAATACACATAGCGATCCACAATAAGACAAAAAAGTAACTTTTTAGGAAGATACATTGGAGTTTGTTTCAAGTTAGTAATTCCATAACATTGATGAAAAAGTACTTTTTCAACTGGCAGGTTATTTCACTTATAGAAAAAATGTCTTGTGATAAGTAAAATAATCTGACAGTGCACTGAAAACATACTAAAAATGGTTGGTATGTAAGACTTTGTGTTTTTGCAGTGTAACAAAAAGTGCAGTAAACAATAATTTATTCCATTCTTATTTAAAGGTTTTAAATGCTGCCTTATTTTCTTTAGTTCTGATCAATAGCTATGTTTACATTAGAAATGTGCACAAAGGAACACAATTAAAATCACATGTGAATAAGTTTGTTCACACAATAAGCCATCTCAACTACTTCCTGCTGTCTTCTTCTTCATGGTTTGTACCAGTGTAACATCCTGTTGTTGAAAATGTGTGACGTGACAAAAAGGTTTTTCCAATGCAGTTTTGTGAAATAAATCAAATTTAATATGGTAAAAAAAATCCCTCCTCATCCTAATGCCAAAACTCTTTAATGAAAAAGATTTTTGTTGTCAAAAAATGTTTCCATTAAACAAAATTTAAGATGATTTATTATCAAAATTCTATGTCATAAGTCACAACATAAGTATATTATTTATATTATACATGGGGTGTGTCATCTTTGACAAGCTGAAAACATAGACATTAAATAGACTCACAAACTGCTTTACTACAGGCAGAGAAATGTTGCTGTGTCTTTTGTTTGTTTGTTTGTTTTTTTTTTTTAAAGAAAGTGGCATTCTTATTCATATTCACAAAAAATTAACTTCATATTCAACTCGTACCTTCACACACTGGAATGATGCCATCCCAGCCATCTGCCAAGCAGCGCCTGCGGCTAGACCGACTGACCATCTGATAACTGTAAAACATTTTTAATGAAAGTCGTGAGAATGCTCACAATAAAACTCACAAAGAGAAAGGAACTTCTTTTTTTTTATCATACCCTCTGTTGCACTCATAAATAATTTGAGATCCAAACACAAAATCATCTCCGATCTCAAGTCGGAAATCTGCATATGGTGCATCTCCGGGATGTCCGCATGATTTCACTTAAAATATTGGAATGAGAACAAAACATGGGTAAATATTCTGTGGTAGAAAAAAAAGTAAGATAAAAATGTTTAAACTTACGTTCACATTTTTTGCCAGCAGTCATCCAGTTCCCCTCATGACAGATCATCCTGAAAAAGCCAGTATAGCCAACACTGCAGGGAACTCTCACTAGTTTTCCTCTGCTGTAAGTGGCATCCAAACCATTTACGTCAAAATTTGAGTCAAAGTGAGCGCTCTTTATAAACTGTTCCAGTGTACAGTCTGTGTGATGGCAACAAACAATTTCAGTGAGTTTCTAGCAATAACAGATCATCAAACAATCAATGCAAAATAGTTTAAAATTCAAAAGGATGAGCGGAACTACTAGGACTTACCTTGGGATGACACAGAAGTCATTAATTGCGACCACAACAGTAGGACGCAGCTTCTCGTTATCATGTGCATTTTAACCTTCTACTCTGAACCGCCAAACAGAGCGAGGCACAACAGACAGCTACACTGTTATACAGAGAAGGAGCTGTGGATTTCACAAGAGAGAGAGAAAAGAAGATTGCTCAATGATTGCACAAGTGGGTTCAGTCTCCAATCCCTAAATCACAGATAAAGAAAAAAGGAAGTGACCAAAAACAGACCCTTAAATCATGCACCAGCTCCTCAATAGACAAACATAATTTTATTTTATATACTTTCAAAAATAAGTTTGGATTAAAAGCCTGGGAATGGTTAAGCAAATAGGACATCAAATCAACAGTTTTTAAATAGTAATCCTTTTAGTACATAACTGCAAGCCCCGGTTTGGTAATTTTTCCATCAATAACTCTGAAGTAGAAAAAAAACATGTTTTCCTGTAATGTTTTGTTTATATTGTTTTCTACTTTACTGGCAATCATTTGCAGGAATCAATTAAGCAAACAAAACTCACTGCATTTCAAGAACCAGTTCAATAGATTTTATTCAACGTAAATCAGATTTAATTTAGATGAAAATAAGTTTTTCTCATACGCTAAAAAGCAACATCATCAGGGTTTAAGATATAGTTTCAAATGCACTTGAGTTGTGCTTTAGAGAAATTAAGAACTGCCATAGAAAAAGTTTTAAAAACAAACAGAAGATTGACTGTGTGACCGGAGTTTAAAAAACAAATAAAACTGAACGTTCATGTTGAGCAATGCAGGATTTACCCATCTTTCTCAATACTTCATGCCGTTTGTACAACTTCTTTGAACTAAACGAAAAAACACTTTACTTAAAAAACTACTCTCATAAAAACTAATTTCTTAAACACAGATGACTCAGAATTACACACAAAAAAAAAATCAGTATATGAAATCCCAAGGAGCTCTAGAAACCAGGAAATCATTTCTGAGAATATTAACAGTATCTATTTTCCCCTGTCATCCATTTATAACATAGTTTGGTCTTGTCTTTTATTCACAACATATTTTGTTAATTATTTGAGTTAATTAGTGGTTTCCCTTGACAGTTTCCTGGAAATAGATGTGAGTTTTGCAAACGGCCTTGCCTCAGTTACTGCTGACAATGCAGAAAGAAAAAGTTGAATGCGGGTTCATGCTTGCCTAACAATGCTCTGCAAAGACTGCATAAGTCTTATCAACAAATGTTTAACATTTCGGCATGAAAATATTCACAAAATGTTAAATGCGTCACGTTGTGAACAGACTTGTCATGAGTTTGAAACAAGCTGAGTCGACTCTTGTTTTTCTTGCTCAAGTTGCATTTGTTTTAATTTGTTGCCAGATGCACACAAATCCACACCGACTACAATCTGAACAAGAGCTGAACAAAATGCTTTCATCATTACATTAATTTAAAATGACATGACTTGTTTAAGCTTTACAAGTAATTGTGCTCCTGTTCTTTTTTTGGTCAGAATATTTCCGTGCTTGCTGGTCTAAGTTACATTTCTGCCTCCAGCTAGTCTTACGAAATCGAGGCTTTTTTTTAAAAAAAAATTTAATTTTTAAAAATTAAAATGAATTAAATGAAGTAAAAATTTTTGACTATTTTGTGTTGAGTTGTGACAAAATCTGTGAAAGTTTTCTGAACCAAACTCTGAAGACTGATATGTATGATGAGAGTTTGAACAAAAAGGCAGCAGAAGATGGACTGACAGACCAGAAGAGACTTTGTTCCGGAGACGATGTCTCATTTTTTGGACTAATTAACCTGCAGATTTAGTTGGTTTGATTTGTTCACTGTAGGCTTTGTTCTTGCTCATCATGTAAACTTTTAAAATTAATTAAATTGTGAACTTTTTAAGTTCAGTCCCAGTAGAGATGCACCAGCTCTGAGGGACTTTCTCGGCTGAACAACAGCTGTGTGTTGAGATATTCCCTTACAGCAGCGTCAGAGATGGAAGAGCGAAAACTACACCTGCTGAAGTCCAAATTCAGTTCCCGAAGAGAAGTGACATCATAAACTGATTTGAGACCAGAGTAAAACACTTTTCATCAGTTTTATTGGCGGCCAGAGACGATGGAGCCGAGGTAGAACACTACAAACCTTCTTTTCTTACTTTCTTTTCTCACATATGTATTTGTAGTTATGTGTACATTTTAACTTTAAATGTCTACAAGCAATTAATAGAGTATGTCTGAAAAGTGCAGGACGTTCATATCTTGTTTAATCTGTTTTACGTCATCGCCACAAACTGCACACATTTCCATTTATTGGATGAACAGTGACACTCTGAGGAGGTTAAGAGATGTTACACCACATTACAGAATTAAAAACCAAAATATATATATTATTCTCTTTTGTACCTATCTTGATCTGTGCTGTGCTTTTAGATCAATAAATGTATTGACTTTCTTTATTTTTCCTTTTTCTTAATCACAAAAATAATTTCTGGGACACAGACCTCCAAAAAGATCATGACATGTGCCGATTGGTTTCGTAAATGTATTTGTGAAATGACTTAGTCACTAAAGTGTTTCTGTAATAGGGCAGTCCAATGTTATACTTTCACTGTTTAAACTGGAGATTTGTTAAAAATGTGAGACAGATTAAATTATTGCAATATGGAAGAACACAAAAGTGCATTTTTTTGTGTTTTGTTTTTACAAGTTTTGTGAAAGAAATCAGTTGAAAACAATGTTTACGAGCCAGTCTATGTAAAAATGCAATGTAAGGTTGAAACAGAGGATGGATTTCTCCCTGTACCTTTACACTCAATCCCACAGGAACTGACAGTGCAACATGTATGCATTTACTGAAAGATTTTATTTAGTTTTAAAATGACATAAATCCTAAAACAGCTCATAGACAGTACTGACCGAATAAAATATCATCTAATATTTCTGCAAAACAAGTTGTGAACATGTTTTGTACAGACCATGTACCTACACTATCCTGTTCAAGAAATCACAGTAGGTCCCCTTCATTAATACTTTTTTTTTTAAATTACAGCCAACAGTGCCCAGTGTGGCATAATGTAAAAAGCAATATGATAAACAACTAATAGCTCAATGCAGAATGGACCAAAACTGTCATCAAGCCAGCAATTTTAAAAATGGCGACCTTCATGGATGAGAATGTAACATTTTTGAAGTAATTAATTATTAGTTAATTGGAAAATTACCACATTTAGGTCAACACGTTCAACTAATCCTGTATCTTTAAAGAAAAGAATAAAAATGCAGAGTCCCATAGTGACCATTAGGGGGCGCAGAGGTACCTGTTTTGTTGCTGAAGCTTTTGATGAACAAACTGAGGAACTTGTTTTTTTTTGTGTAATTAAAAAAATGTCAAAGTATTTAATTCAGGAGAATAATGAATCACAAGAGAGCAAATAAAAAACTCCTTTATGATCGTCATCAGCTTATGTTGCTCTGCTTTAAAGCTTAGGGAGCTTCTGTTATAGTGTTAAATGTCAAGATGTGAACGTTTCATTTGTTGACTCATTCAATGAATGATCTTCAAAAATATATTTTATTTGAGTAATTAAGCTCATGGTCCAAATTAATTTTAGCAACGGGACGATATTAATGAACATTGACATGGAAATACATGAGATTATATAACAAATATAATGGCCAATAAGATATAAGCAGCCATAAAATCCAAAAATATTAGCGTATGTTAGTTTTTTTTATTTTTTATGATAAATTTATTTATTTTTCATTTTTTTGCTTTCTGAGAGCCTGTTTTTAAGGCGGTTCCTAAATGAAATGAGAAGGGTCCTTTTTGATGCTTGGAATGTAAAAAAAAAAGTGGCAATGTCAAGAAATATTGCAGAAAATGTGAAAATTATTTAAAAAAAAGAATGTCAGTATAATGAACAGTTTGTCCATGCACTGTCCAGTGAATAAGTTACAACCTATTAATATCAAAAGTAGCTTTATTTGCTGAAGTTTGTGCTTGGGTTCCAGTTTGCTCTCATAAAGACACCAAAATGAAGTTTCTGATTAAAGCTGAGTGTTTATATCACATTTTTGACAGACATTTCTCAAGCAGATATGTGTTTCTTCCCTGCAGACTTTTTGTTTTCCCTAACTCAGCTCTTTCACTTCCAGGCTCAGTTTCTCTTCTGCAAACTTAGTTCAGATTGAGGGCCAACCGGTGGTGTAACCTTGAAATTTAGCACATTGTGCATTTCTTACACTCAAAAAAAGACATTAGGTGAGGCAAGCGAAGTGTCTTTCCCACGTCCACGAATGAGTCAGACCAGTTCTGAACTTTTTTCACATTTTGTGATGCTACAACCACAAATTTAAATAGTTTTGTGTGACAATATATAAGGGTGATGCTGTTTTATAAATGTGACTGGCCACAACAAAACCACAAACAGGTCTGTATGGGACATTTTAGTTATTTAAAGTTTCTTAAACTGTGGATTCTGAGCTCTACAATGATGTCAAACACAAAATAATAATAAAAAGTTGTTTTACTACAAAGAACAGTGACTTCAATAAGTATTCCTGGCTCTGTTTGCTTCCTTCAGCTTTTCTTTTGGGTGACCTGTTTTCAAGCCACTTATTTATTATTATTTTTAACCCCAATCGTTCGGTAAGCTTAAGGAAAAATGACGCAACGGCAATTGTTCCTATTGGGGTGAAAATCACAGTGAATTGTTTTTATTTTAATAAGTACATTTTAAAACAGAATGAAAAATGACAATATTTTACAATAATGAGCATGAAATTTAATATTCATTCAGTTATTACACCATTGCATTGTCATATATTTATCTATTATTTATTAAAGTAATTTCTTGTTTTACAATGTAGTAGCTTGTTATTTAATTTTGAGCATTTTGAGGTTCTATAGTAGTTTACATATTTTTGTGATTACATGTTTATATCTTGTTCCCTGAAAACCTTTACTGGCAGGTGGGCAGGGTCATCTGACCATCATTACACTGAACACGCAACGGCACAGAGCCAACCCGTCTTTTACCTCTTAGACAAACAAATGAAAGGTGATCCTCATGTGGTGCATACAAGTTAGTTGCACCACCAACTCTAAAGTAAAGGCCATGTTGACTCAATAATTCCTCGTTCACAGTGCATGGTTCTGAAAAACAAAAACAAAGACAGAAAAATAGAATTAACTTTGTTTCATAAACTAATAAAATGTATAATTACTAATGTTTTTACATTTGCTTTTAAGTATTTATCAAATGTTTTGAGAAGTAGATTCTATCTCTAAGCTGAAGATGCGGATAAATAATCCTCTGCATCTTATTTCTTACATTTTGCTTCTTTTCTGTCTAATCATGAGTCATAATAAGAATTACAAAAAGCAGCTTATGTTCCAACCTCTTTTTATGTTATTAAAACCATACAGAATTCTTTTTGAAACATTATTGTTACTCCTTTGATTTCTACTTTTGTTATTTGGCATTTAAGTTTATGTCATTTGTTCGTACAATTAGAAAAACACAATTTCTAGAAATATTGATTATAGCTGTAAGATTCAAAATAATAAGCAGCAGTGGTTTTTAAATACATAATTAGAACAGCAGAAATATCACAGTGTGCAAAATGAAATGTTGAAATTGAACTTACTCATGCATCTCATGTTTCCTTCCCATACACCGTTGTTGCAGGTTTGAAATGGGTCACCGTTCATAATGTACTTATTCTGACAGATATATTCAACTTTGTCACCAGTTTGATAAACTGCATTTGATCTGAGAAATAATTTGGTGTCTCCATCTTCAAGAAGTGGTGGTGCTGAACATTGTACAGCTGAAAGAATGTGAACAAAGAGAAAAAAAGTGATTTGAAATTGTGCTTAATTCATTAATATGAACTACCTCTCAATCGAACGCTCTTAAGAACGGCTGTAAAAGCCATAAAGGCTAAGATTGTTGTGATGAACTGCTGAAGGCGAAATGTCGGAAAGATGAAAATGTTCTTAAAGTCAAGGGGCCAATTTGAAAGCGTCAGATTGTGAAATTAAATTTATTTTGTTTTCTTTGGTACATGCAACATTTTTATAACAACTGAAGGAAACAGTTTGTTGACTGCACTATAAAACTGATCATCTTTGTCCTGTATTAAAATTTGTTTTTGAGCACAAAAGGGAAAATCTCCACTTCAGATGAACGTACCTGAGCAAAACGGGAAGGAAGCGTTCCATTGGCCGGTTGGTAAGCATTCAATTTCCCCTGAGCCGCTCAGCTGGTAACCAGGACCACAGAGAAAACGCAGCTTGTGTCCAGGTTTCAGTGTTGTGCCAGTCGATGTTAGTCCAGTTACATACAGATTAGTATCCAGTCCACCAATTTCACAAGTGTTCACTGAAAGTAAAACAGGAAGTTAATAAAATAGGAGAATATGTAAAACAATTATTATAAAAGAAACCTGAAAATATCAGGATCTGCATTAGTTTCCCCCTTAGAACGGCCATTTAACAGCCGTGCATTTCCTTTTTGTCCGAGCCTCTTCCCATTACATAAGCGCTAACATACCTCTTTGAACCAAAGTACTTAACTGTACTGGTGTTATTTATTTATTTTTGGAAAATAAGTATCTCACAATTTAGGGAAATTAACATAAATACTCATCATGGAGAATTTATATTACAGTGTTTCCATTGGCTCTGGTTCTGGCTGATTTAAAAAGATCTGACATTATGAAACTTGACATCAAAAAATGAACTAGAATAGAATAGAATATACTTTATTGGTCCCCAAGGGGAAATTGCTTATTTGTTGAAAGACACTCCATCTTAGGTAATAAATACAAAGTTTGTAAAATATATAAGTACACCTGAGAGTGAGAAGTTCAAAAAGACTACATATAGACAAATAAATAAATAACAAGCAATCACATGCAATATATTAATCAATAAATAACCTATAAATGTGTGCAAGATAAGTATCAGATAACTATAAGCTTCTTCTTCCCACATGTAATAATTATCATATGTAGTTTATAGTTTTTGATGCATACTAGATACAAAACTCTGTTCAGAGCAACTTTGCCATGTTCGCCTTTGGCATAAAATTAACAACAAAAGACAAAGTTAATAATAATAATAATCTTTATGTAATGACTGACACACACCAGGCATTAATCTTTCAATGCAGTTAATGAAACATTGTTTCATGCATGTTTCTAACTCCTATATATAAGCAGATTGAGTCTGGAAGGTGCTATGTAAACAAAGTTGCCTTGCCTGAAATAAAACCTTCTTTGTGTTTTCTATAACAATGGCTTTAAAACATGAATAAAAAACAGTTTCTTACCGTTCTGTGACCAGGAAAATTTCACACTTAGAAACACCTGGAGAACCAGGAATATAAACCGCAGAGGCTTCATTGCCTGTGTTGACTTGATGTTTTCTGAGGAAAAGTTTACTGAGGTTGCCCCACTTTTAATTCAGCTGCAGCTCCAAAGGGCGACATGAACAGCCCACATTTACGTCACTGTTTTTCTTCTCCCAAGATGAACCCGCCACTCACATCCTCACACATTTATCAAGACTTAAATGGATTCCATCAAAAAAACAACAAACAGTTAGGTTGATCTTCTCTGTTTAACTATAACCTTTAACTATAACCTTTGATTATTTCTAAGAATCTTGAGAATTTGTTTTGCTTATCAACTTTTGAAGGTCAGACTGGATTGGTTACCGTAAAGCCAAACTTTCTGTCTGAACTGTTAGTTAATCATTTTTTGTGTTTGGTTATCTTGCAAACATTTATTAAAATTGTTTTTGAAGTGGAGTCAGTATTGTGAAACTTAAGCAATTAGTTGGTAAGATGAAGATCAATACATAAAGATACACTGTCTTGTGTAGTTTTCTCAAACATAATTTTATATAGCGCTTTAGCAAATGCTGAGAGATGTAGTACAATATAAAATAAAAGATTTGCTGATAAAAGTTATGTAAAAACTTAAATAGTCCAAGCTTAAAATCCTCTCTTTCCACATAGAGTAGCCAACATTAGAGTTGAATCTGGAATCCTTTCTCTTCATTACTAACAGGGATCTTCCAGCCAAGATGGACAAATTCTCCTCAAAAAGGGCAAACAAACAAAATTGATAACCCAAGTCTCAGGCTGTGTTCACACTGCAGCCTGATGTGACCTAATTCAAATTTTTCTTCTTGCTTTAATGAGACTTATCTGATCTTTTTATGACAATCTGAACAACAAAGGTAGGATTTTTTTTAATGCAACCCAGACTGCTTGGCTAACCGATGCTTATCTGATCTGAATCCTAACGGCCAGGTCCTGAACGTTATTTATTCTCAACAAAAGTTCCTACTCAGCGCCCTGATACGCTCAAGAGAGAAGAAAAACAACAACTATGGAGGACAAGACTGAGTTTTCAGTTGTCACTGTGCTGGTTCTGGTCGTACAGCAACTTCAAAATCACAACCTGTGCTCCATCGTTAGCATCCATGTTTACTACTGCAAAGGCTGAGCACTTCTTCCTCTTTCTGACGATTAGCAAAACACTGAACACTCTCTATTCTTACATTGTTATTGCGGCCTCGACTGCACATGTGGGGCACTTTCAGGTCATTTGGAGTTCACACTGGAGAACACATACAAGTCGCGACTGTGAGGATTTGGGTTTTTCTCTGTGTTAATTTAGGTTTCTGTGTCGTTTTCAGTTGTTCTGTCTAGTCCTTGATTATTCCCAGCTGTGTCTCGTTACCCTCTGTGTATTTAATCCCACTGTGTTCCTGGTTCCTAGTCGGATCTGTTATATCAAGCCTTGTTGTGGTTTAGTTTTTGTCAGAGGTCCACTGTTACCAGTTGCTGCCAGTTTTGAGCCTTTGCCTTCTGTTCATTCTGTGCTGCCTGGACTTTGGATTATTGTGCTTTTGTAATTTATTTCATCATTGAACAACCATCATTCACTTCAACCTGGGTCCTCAGCGTCTTCCTCACCACCTTTCTACCGCACCCCATGACAGCGACCAAAAAAAAAAAAGCTGAATAGTGCAGTGTGAATGTCGCCTTAGACTCTAAGCAGCTCAAATCCACAATAAATCCCTTCTAATGAAAAGTTTTGGACATGGTAATAATAAATCATCAATGATGTAAAAAAAAAAAAAAAATCAACATTTTGCATCCTATGTTCTAGAATATAAAATATAAAATGGAAAATCAACAAACACGCACAGACCATTTGACTTGAAACTGACCCATAATGACACAACCTATGTACAACCTGAAATGAAAAAATTAGTCTCTGGACTAATATATAAGGGTGATGCTGTTTCATAAATGTGACTGGCCACAACAAAACCACAAACAGGTCTCTATGGGGCATTTTAGTTATTTAAAGTTTCTTAAACTGTGGATTCTGAGCTCTCCAATGATGACAAACACATAATAATAAAAAGTTGTTTTACTACAAAGAACAGTGACATCAATAAGTATTCTCTTTAGTTGATCTGTTTTCAAGCCACTTATTTATTATTATTTTTAACCCCAATCGTTCGGTAAGCTTAAGGAAAAATGACGCAACGGCAATTGTTCCTATTGGGGTGAAAATTACAGTGAATTGTTTTTATTTTAATAAGTACATTTTAAAACAGAATGAAAAATGACAATATTTTACAATAATGAGCATGAAATTTAATATTCATTCAGTTATTACACCATTGCATTGTCATATATTTATCTGTTATTTATTAAAGTAGTTTCTTGTTTTACAATGTAGTAGCTTGTTATTTAATTTTGAGCATTTTGAGGTTCTATAGTAGTTTACATATTTTTGTGATTACATGTTTATATCTTGTTCCCTGAAAACCTTTACTGGCAGGTGGGCAGGGTCATCTGACCATCATTACACTGAACACGCAACGGCACAGAGCCAACCCGTCTTTTACCTCCTAGACAAACAAATGTAAGGTGATCCTCATGTGGTGCATACAACTTAGTTGCACCACCAACTCTAAAGTCAATTCCATGTTGACTCAATAATTCCTCGTTCACAGTGCATGGTTCTGAAAAACAAAAACAAAAACAGAAAAATAGAATTAACTTTGTTTCATAAACTAATAAAATGTATAATTACTAATGTTTTTACATTTGCTTTTAAGTATTTATCAAATGTTTTGAGAAGTAGATTCTGTTTCTAAGCTGAAGACGCGGATAAATAATCCTCTGCATCTTATTTCTTACATTTTGCTTCTTTTCTGTCTAATCATGAATCATAATAAGAATTACAAAAAGCAGCTTATGTTCCAACCTCTTTTTATGTTATTAAAACCATACAGAATTCTTTTAGAAACATTATTGTTACTCCTTTGATTTCTACTTTTGTTATTTGGCATTTAAGTTTATGTCATTTGTTCGTACAATTAGAAAAACACAATTTCTATTATTCTTGATTACAGCTGTACGATTCAAAATAATAAGCAGCAGTGGTTTTTAAATACATAATTAGAACAGCAGAAATATCACAGTTTGCAAAATGAAATGTTGAAATTGAACTTACTCATGCATCTCATGTTTCCTTCCCATACACCGTTGTTGCAGGTTTGAAATGGGTCACCGTTCATAATGTACTTATTCTGACAGATATATTCAACTTTGTCACCAGTTTGATAAACTGCATTTGATCTGAGAAATAATTTGGTGTCTCCATCTTCAAGAAGTGGTGGTGCTGAACAATGTACAACAGCTGAAAGAATGTGAACAAAGAGAAAAAAAGTGATTTGAAATTGTGCTTAATTCACTAATTTGATAGGATTTAGGGGCTATATTATTAGTTGTTTGCTTCCTGACATAAAAAATGAATTGCTGCCCAGGGCATTTAATCTAGAACACTGCAGTGACTTTTCTACATCTACAAAGAGTACAAAGAGAGACAATCTGTTGTCTTTTTAATTCATTATATTACTGTTTATGTTTGAAAATGTCTTTTTTTTTTTGCTCCATGTGGGGACTTATTGGTCAAAAAGAAAAATCTGTGCTGTGAAAAACCTGAAATTGTAGCTTCCCTTTGCCAAACATTTCAATAAATACCATGTGACCCGGCCTCCTGTCTGGTGCTTTCTAAAGCTTTTAGTCATGATGACCAGAGTGGCACTGAGTTAAGTATATTTTAATGAAATGTATCAGAATGTAAATGCTGATACCTTGAATAAATATTGTTAGGTTAAACAAATGTTCAAGAAAAGCGTAAGACTAGAAGTGATTTACCTGCACACTGAGGTAAGGAAGGGCTCCACTTTCCATTTCCCAAACAACGACTTTCTTTACTCCCTTGCATGATGTGCTCTTGTTGACGACAGGCAAATGACACTGTATCTCCTGTACTTACAAAATTGCCTTGTATAGATGAAATGATGCGAATGTTATCGGGTACGTCTGATCTTTTGCATTTCTCTGCCAAAGAACAGAAGTTTTCAACATCAGCATAATACATTATAACTCAGTGAAACTAAACATCAATTTTAACCGTAACATTTTGTTTTTTAAAACCAATGATTATACATTTGTTCATTTAAACTTCTCATTTACCCCATAAACCTTCATTTAAATTCCACTAGTGAGTGAGATTGTCAACTTCGGGTCAGAAAGGTTGTCAATCAAGGATTTTAACCGTCACAAATGTAAATGCTGCTTTACAACAATGCATGCAAATGGAATTATTGATTAATTGTAAACAAAAAACAAAGTCAATAGAACATAAGCAATTTTTAAAATTAATTGATTTTAAAGGCGTTGTACAAGTGGATTGGTTCTGTGTTTGCAAGCTGCACCAAATAGGAAGTGAACACACCAGAGCAGTTTGGAAACGGGCCATCCCACTTCCCCGTGTCTAAACACTGAACTTCTTCAGAACCCTGCATGTCATACTCATCTCCACACAAAAAACGTAATTTTTTTCCAGGATTCACTAGATTATATCGGGGTGCCCTTCCAAAATGTCTCAGTCCGTCACTCAGTGGGTCAACTTTACAGGGAATGCCTGAGAAAGCAGAGCAGACCAGATGAAACACAAGTTTTAACAAACAATTCTGTTTCAATTTTATTAAACCTTTCAGTGAAAAGTGCATCTGTCAACACATTTTCTTGAACTGATGTAAAAATAAAAAACTAAATTCTATTTTTCCTTTTTTTAGCACCATTTCTTCTCACCTGGACACTTTTCAGATATTGTCCACTTGCCACTCTGACATGTTGCGTTGCCTTCTTTATTTGCACCAGGCGTAGTGCATTCATATTGAACCACTTCTCCTTCCATGTAAATTTCTTTAATCATGTCTGCCCTCACTTTCAGTCGGGTATCACTGAGCTTCTCACACAAAGCTGCAACACATTAAGACAGTTTTGTTACAATTAGCATCACAGAGGTTATTTCAAAGGGCAGGCACTCCTCTAAATCACTTGGAAGGCCTTATTTTTTGCTTCAGTTCATGCCAATCATTGAAATGTTTTTATATAGCTGGTAAACCACAGACTTAAAAGTAATTTGAATATTTTACAATAGCAAAAAATAGAGGTTTGATGAAAATGATTAATAATATCTACTGGCAGAAATCCAGTCTTATGAATATAAATGTATATATATTTTACTAAAAAGTAATTTGTAGTTTAGTCGAATTTTCTGCAAGTGTTTCTTTGATTTTCTCTGCAGAAATTATGAAAATACTAGGTACGTACACAATAATTGAATGGTTTACTTACAAGTATTAAAGAGACATAGAAAGGGAGGAAATCATAACCCAATCCTAAAACAATGCCATTAATAATATTTTGAGAATATTTTGATTGAAATATCCACATACAGGCACATGTGATGTTACTCCTTTCCCATTTCCCGTCTCTGCATGTAATGGTGGGTTCTTCCTCCATCACATACTTGTCACGGCACTGATAAGTCACAGAGGAGCCATGCAAGTATTCCTTCTGGTATGAAACGGTGACAATTGCATTCTCAACTTTGGGTGGTGGGCCACAGTGTTGAGCAGTTGCTGCAAGACATAAAAATATGTAAAATTCAAATTAAAATCTTTGTAAAATGTAATCATATGAGTATTTTAAAATGATAAGGATGTCTCACCATTGCAGATTTTTTTTGATGAATGGCCATGATAATTCCATCTTCCATTTTCACAAGTTAGTTCAGGAATCACTGCAAAGTATCCTTCATTGCATTCAATCTTACCACGATTACTTAAAACTGTCACTTTTCCATTGGAAATTGCTTGAGGCTCTCCACACGATGTCTTTGCTTTAAGACAGCATTGATGAAGCATGTCAGTAATGCATCAAGATTGCTATTGCAAATATACTATATAATAAAAAACATGTTTTCAGCTAATTTGCTTTATTGAATAATTTAAAATAAAATATTACACCCAAAATCTCTGACTAATTTACAATGACCAAATATTACACAAACTTGAGGAAGAGCCTGAAGTTTAGCTAATTGGAAGCATTGCATTTGGTTAAATTCATAGGAGTAAAATTATGTCTACGAGAAAATAGAGATTAATTACCTATACATGAATGAAGTTGACCAAACCCCCCATCTTCACATTTGGCATAACCCCACCAGCTTTTGGTAGGAAGTTTGAAATTTTCATTACAGGTGTAGTAAATTGTGCCGTTAGTGGATTCAACTGCAAATCCATTAGTAATTTCGGGTTTCTGGCAAACTGGCACATCTGGTGATGATTCAGAAAAAAAAAAGTCATATTCCTGTTGCAGGGGTCAAAAGATTAATGCAAGTAATATGTATCCATGTTCCAGGCCTGATTTTAAAAATGTTAATATCTCTCAGTTCCTCTTTTCCCAGTTTGTTTTTTACCAGATTGTTCATAGCTTCTTCTTGTTCAAGTTAAACTGGTTTGTCTATTAACATCTTAAATATCCCAAAATCATCATGTAAGACTATAAAGCTGTAACCAGATATTTGAACAAACTTTTCTGATGTCATCAATTAAAATGATGTCTAATAAATGCTGGACAAATGAAACAGTATTTTTAACGTTTCTTACTTTTTCTTAGCATGTTTAAGTGTGTTATTTTACACTGCTATCATGTTTGAAATAAATGAATACAAAAATATATATTTTTAAACTTTCTTTAAATGCTTTTTCACACGGACTCTTTACACGTGACGTCACTCTCGAGCTGTCAGCCCTCGGTGTAGCAGCGGATTTACAAGGTAAAAAGATTAACTTTCATATACTTTATAAGTAAGTGAGTAAGTACGTATGATTTGTTCGAGTTGAACAAGTAGAAACAATGAATAAACTGGCAAAAGCAACTTGTCAGTTTAGTTATTTTGGGAAAACATCTTTAGTGCTCTGTTCCATACTCCTGATCGTCACTTCCGATGTCCATCATGGCACTTAGAACTGAGTAAATGAGGGTCAATATTTCCTTTAAGTGCCTGTCAAACCATGACAAGGTTCTCACAATAGTTTGCAGGACACAATTAAATTAGTCACAGATGTTCTTACCTGTACATTGTATTATCCCGTTCCAGGCTCCTCGATTACAGGTGATGGTAACTGATTCCTGATTCCCTCTCAAACATTGGTATGTAAATTGGTCACCCTGGTTGTAGGTTCTTTTATAACCTCTGATAATTCTGGAGTTTTTAATGTTAGGGTTTTCACACCGTGTCCCTGAAATAACATTAAACATGTAGTTTAAGCTGCATGATATTTGCTAACAAAACTATAGGGAAGAATCTACATGCAAAAATGTGAAAAGAAATTTTGCTGATTCATTGCTAATGTTGATTTTTCAGCATTTTTTCCCCTTGCTGTTTGAGATTTTTTGTGTTGCTACTTTGAACTAATCATTTCATCAAAGGATTTTTCAAAATATTTTGGGGTATATAGAACATCAGGAAGTGTTTATTCAATAGTGTATGACTCAGTGGCCTAAATAAATGTTCAATATCTATTTGTTATTCCATCTCATAATAAATATTTGTTTCTACTTGGCAAAGAAATTGAGCTTAAAAGGGTAACCTCTATTTATGGTTGATTTCTTTGGCAAGAAGAAAGGATGCCAACATGCTTTTTGTTCAGGTTGTTTGTTTTTTGAGATTTGACTTGACCTTCCAGATAACTCTGCTTCACTGCAGCTGTTACAAAATAATCCAGGACTTCTCTCTTTAATTGAAGTGGATAAGCCTCCTTCTTTTTAAAAATAAAGAGGATAAGTTACAAAGATTTTTTTTTTCAAGATTATGAAGTATTTCATGTAAAGTGGCCAGGTAAATGAATTGAAAACATAGTTTTACAGTAAGACAACAAAAGACCATTTAAAGTGAACAGTACCAACACAAAGTGGTTTCGGTGTCCATCCGTCTCTGGTGCACGTTGCCATGCGGTCTGAATTTGCAGGATTGTAGTAACTGGCACATTGATACCAAATTCTGTCACCTAATTTGTTTTTGCCCCGAGCATTTTCATAATTATACAAATGTTCTTCTAGTATTTGGTATGGGCATGTAACCTCTGCAGTGGAAGAAAAATGCATTTTCTATTTAAAAAGTTGAAATCAACAGTATTAATCATTCATAGGACTAATGAAACATTAGCACAAATACTTTTTAACTGAATAATTAATTGATGACATTGTGGGCTTTTAATACCTTGGCATATTGGATTTGAATTCCATTCTCCAGTGACTCCACAAGTAATATCAGCCTCCGTTGTTTGCATGTCCAGAATCCAGTGTTTCTCCCCACATGTGACTCTCACTGTTTCTCCAGGTGAATACATGTTTTTGTTTGGAGGGCTGTAGGTTGTCCCACGGATTGATGCCAAAGTCAGTTCACATTGAATTTCTGGAATCGTAGGACATATATCTTTATTTGTCAGTTTGTTGGAAGAAGACGCACTTCATATGTGTACCTCAGACTTTTCTCCTCATTGCAGTAAAATAAGTTGTTGTTGTTACAGAAATCATACTCACTTTTACATGCAGGTGTGGGAATCCAGTTAGCTTTTTGTCCAGTCTTTGTGCATCTTGGAGTTCTCTCAACAGCCCATTTATAAGTAGAGTCACATCTAAAATGTAAGATTTCATGTTCTTTGTATTCCTGAGCGGCACCAAGCACACGGCCATGTTCAATCTGAGGGACGGAACATCCTATTGCTGTTGACATCAAGCACAAGCGTTACCAATTTTAATGGAAAAGTAGATTGATAATTAAGCCTTTGAGTTTGAGATTTAATTGGCTTATTGTTAAAACATTTTACAAAGTTATATAGGGAGGTGCTATATAAAATCAACTTTTTGGAGTGTTTTATTTTATTATGTTGTAATTCAGTTAACAAAACATACACAAGCTGTTGCTTTCATTCTTTTAATGCATGTTTAAGAAATCCTTGAATCTGCCATGGCAGCTAAACCAGCGTGCCTAAATACTTACACTCCAGCTTTCACGTAACAGACCACCTGTCCCTCACTTTTTTCCCATGCAGCTCCTCCAGACTAGCAGCAGCAGCAATTGACAAACACCCGGTAGAATTGTGAATCCGCTGAGCTCAAAATATGAACTACCTCTCAATCGAATGCTCTTAAGAACGGTTGTTAAAGCCATAAAGGCTAAGATTGTTGTGATGAACTGCTGAAGGCGAAATGTCGGAAAGATGAAAATGTTCTTAAAGTCAAGGGGCCAATTTCAAAGCATCAAATGGTGAAATTAAATTTTTTTTGTTTTCTTTGGTACATGCAACATTTTTATAACAACTGAAGGAAACAGTTTGTTGACTGCACTATAAAATTGCAGGTATTGCCTGGAAAAATATTTCCTTCATTTAGTAAATAGTATCAAACATATTTTAAAGTAATAAAATATATTAAAGTCTTGAATTTAACTGTTTTAAACTTATGCTGCTAGGTTAAAACATATCTGCAATAATGCTATATTTAATAAAAGCTTTTCATATATTTGGTGATGTTTAGTTTCGACGTCTTACCATACCTTTGCATTTTGGAACAGGGTCACTCCACTCCCCATCATCCTTGCAAAAAATCTCTTGTGACCCAGACAAGATTTCTGCATTTGACTTGCAGCTAAACCGAACAACATTGCCAGATGTGGCTTCTTCTGCATCCCCGAAAATATGTACATTATTGTCTGCATGAATGACTGGACATTTTATGGCTGGAATGACAAAAGTTGAAACACAAGACAAAGAAAGCTTAATACACATAGCGATCCACAATAAGACAAAAAAGTAGCTTTTTAGGAAGATACATTGGAGTTTGTTTCAAGTTAGTAATTCCATAACATTGATGAAAAAGTACTTTTTCAACTGGCAGGTTATTTCACTTATAGAAAAAATGTCTTGTGATAAGTAAAATAATCTGACAGTGCACTGAAAACATACTAAAAATGGTTGGTATGTAAGACTTTTGCAGTGTAACAAAAAGTGCAGTAAACAATAATTTATTCCATTCTTATTTAAAGGTTTTAAATGCTGCCTTATTTTCTTTAGTTCTGATCAATAGCTATGTTTACATTAGAAATGTGCACATTTCTAATGTAATTAAAATCAATTAAAATCACATGTGAATAAGTTTGTTCACACAATAAGCCGTCTCAACTACTTTCTGCTGTCTTCTTCTTCCTGGTTTGTACCAGTGTAACATCCTGTTGTTGAAAATGTGTGACGTGACAAAAAGGTTTTTCCAATGCAGTTTTGTGAAATAAATCAAATTTAATATGGTAAAAAAAATCCCTCCTCATCCTATTGCCAAAACTCTTTAATAAGAAAGATTTTTGTTTTCAAAAAATGTTTCCATTAAACAAAATTTAAGATGATTTATTATCAAAATTCTATGTCATAAGTCACAACATAAGTATATTATTTATATTATACATGGGGTGTGTCATCTTTGACAAGCTGAAAACATAGACATTAAATAGACTCACAAACTGCTTTACTACAGGCAGAGAAATGTTGCTGTGTTTTTTTTTTTTTTTTTTTTTTTTTAAAGTGGCATTCTCATTCATATTCACAAAAAATTAACTTCATATTCAACTCGTACCTTCACACACTGGAATGATGCCATCCCAGCCATCTGCCAAGCAGCGCCTGCGGTTAAACCGACTGACCATCTGATAACTGTAAAACATTTTTAATGAAAGTCGTGAGAATGCTCACAATAAAACTCACAAAGAGAAAGGAACTTCTTTTTTTTTATCATACCCTCTATTGCACTCATAAACAATTTCAGATCCAAACACAAAATCATCTCCTTGCACAAGTCGGAAATCTGCATATGGTGCATCTCCGGGATGTCCGCATGATTTCGCTTAAAATAACATGAGAACAAAACATGGGTAAATATTCTGTGGTGGAAAATAAGTAAGATAAAATGTTTAAACCTACGTTCACATTTTTTGCCAGCAGTCATCCAGTTCCCCTCAGAACAGATCAACCTGAAAAAGCCAGTATAGCCAGAACTGCAGGGAACTCTCACTTGTTTTCCTCCGCTGTAAGTGGCACCCAAACCACTTATGTCAAAATTTGAGTCAAAGTGAGCGCTCTTTATAAACTGTTCCAGTGTACAGTCTGTGTGATGGCAACAAACAATTTCAGTGAGTTTCTAGCAATAACAGATCATCAAACAATCAATGCAAAATAGTTTAAAATTCAAAAGGATGAGCGGAACTACTAGGACTTACCTTGGGATGATACAGAAGTCATTAATTGCGACCACAACAGTAGGACGCAGCTTCTCGTTATCATGTGCATTTTAACCTTCTACTCTGAACCGCCAAACAGAGCGAGGCACAACAGACAGCTACACTGTTATACAGAGAAGGAGCTGTGGATTTCACAAGAGAGAGAGAGAAAAGAAGATTGCTCAATGATTGCACAAGTGGGTTCAGTCTCCAATCCCTAAATCACAGATAAAGAAAAAAGGAAGTGACCAAAAACAGACCCTTAAATCATGCACCAGCTCCTCAATAGACACATAATTTTATTTTATACTTTCAAAAATAAGTTTGGATTAAAAGCCTGGGAATGGTTAAGCAAATAGGACATCAAATCAACAGTTTTTAAATAGTAATCCTTTTAGTACATAACTGCAAGCCCGGTTTGGTATTTGTCCATCAATAACTCTGAAGTAGAAAAAAAAAACATGTTTCTGTAATGTTTTGTTTATATTGTTTACTTTACTGGCAATCATTTGCAGGAAAAAGCAAACAAAACTGCATTTCAAGAACCAGTTCCATAGATTTTATTCAACGTAAATCAGATTTAATTTAGATGAAAATAAGTTTCTCATATGCTAAAAAGCAACATCATCAGGGTTTAAGATATAGTTTCAAATGCACTTGAGTTGTGCTTTAGAGAAATTAAGAACTGCCATAGAAAAAGTTTTAAAAACAAACAGAAGATTGACTGTGTGACCTGAGTTTAAAAAACAAATAAAACTGAACGTTCATGTTGAGCAATGCAGGATTTACCCATCTTTCTCAATACTTCATGCCGTTTGTACAACTTCTTTGAACTAAACGAAACAACACTGTTACTATAAAAACTACTCTCATAAAAACTAATTTCTTAAACACAGATGAAATTAAATTACATTAAAAAAAAATCAGTATATGAAATCCCAAGGAGCTCTAGAAACCACGAAATCATTTCTGAGAATATTAACAGTATCTATTTTCCCCTGTCATCCATTTATAACATAGTTTGGTCTTGTCTTTTATTCACAACATATTTTGTTAATTATTTGAGTTAATTAGTGGTTTCCCTTGACAGTTTCCTGGAAATAGATGTGAGTTTTGCAAACGGCCTTGCCTCAGTTACTGCTGACAATGCAGAAAGAAAAAGTTGAATGCGGGTTCATGCTTGCCTAACAATGCTCTGCAAAGACTGCATAAGTCTTATCAACAAATGTTTAACATTTCGGCATGAAAATATTCACAAAATGTTAAATGCGTCACGTTGTGAACAGACTTGTCATGAGTTTGAAACAAGCTGAGTCGACTCTGTTGCATTTGTTTTAATTTGTTGCCAGATGCACACAAATCCACACCGACTACAATCTGAACAAGAGCTGAACAAAATGCTTTCATCATTACATTAATTTAAAATGACATGACTTGTTTAAGCTTTACAAGTAATTGTGCTCCTGTTCTTTTTTTGGTCAGAATATTTCCGTGCTTGCTGGTCTAAGTTACATTTCTGCCTCCAGCTAGTCTTACGAAATCGAGGCTTTTTTTTTTAAATGAAGTAAAAATTTTTGACTATTTTGTGTTGAGTTGTGACAAAATCTGTGAAAGTTTTCTGAACCAAACTCTGAAGACTGATATGTATGATGAGAGTTTGAACAAAAAGGCAGCAGAAGATGGACTGACAGACCAGAAGAGACTTTGTTCCGGAGACGATGTCTCATTTTTTGGACTAATTAACCTGCAGATTTAGTTGGTTTGATTTGTTCACTGTAGGCTTTGTTCTTGCTCATCATGTAAACTTTTTAAATTAATTAAATTGTGAACTTTTTAAATTCAGTCCCAGAAGAGATGCACCAGCTCTGAGGGACTTTCTCGGCTGAACAACAGCTGTGTGTTGAGATATTCCCTAACAGCGGCGTCAGAGATGGAAGAGCGAAAAACTACACCTGCTGAAGTCCAAATTCAGTTCCCGAAGAGAAGTGACATCATAAACTGATTTGAGACCAGAGTAAAACACTTTTCATCAGTTTTATTGGCGGCCAGAGACGATGGAGCCGAGGTAGAACACTACAAACCATCTTTTCTTACTTTCTTTTCTCACATATGTATTTGTAGTTATGTGTACATTTTAACTTTAAATGTCTACAAGCAATTAATAGAGTATGTCTGAAAAGTGCAGGACGTTCATATCTTGTTTAATCTGTTTTACGTCATCGCCACAAACTGCACACATTTCCATTTATTGGATGAACAGTGACACTCTGAGGAGGTTAAGAGATGTTACACCACATTACAGAATTAAAAACCAAAATAATATATTATTCTTTTGTACCTATCTTGATCAGTGCTGTGCTTTTAGATCAATAAATGTATTGACTTTCTTTATTTTTCCTTTTTCTTAATCACAAAAATAATTTCTGGGACACAGACCTCCAAAAAGATCATGATATGTGCCGATTGGTTTCGTAAATGTATTTGTGAAATGACTTAGTCACTAAAGTGTTTCTGTAATAGAGCAGTCCAATGTTAGTTATACTTTCATTGTTTAAACTGGAGATTTGTTAAAAATGTGAGACAGATTAAATTATTGCAATATGGAAGAACACAAAAGTGCATTTTTTTGTGTTTTGTTTTTACAAGTTTTGTGAAAGAAATCAGTTGAAAACAATGTTTACGAGCCAGTCTAAGTAAAAATGCAAATGTAAGGTTGAAACAGAGGATGGATTTCTCCCTGTACCTTTACACTCAACCCCACAGGAACTGACAGTGCAACATGTATGCATTTATTGAAAGCCTTGCTAAAAATATTCACCTGCAGCACAGGATGAATTATTAATGAAAATTATAACACTTCTGGGAAATACTGCGCTCTCTGTCTTCCAGATTTGTTTTAATTTTCCAGTAAAAGTAAAATCCACTGTTTATTCATAAGGGTCACAATACTATTGTCGTCAAACCCTTTTTCTCTGAGCAGTTTCTAATTTCTCCACTAGAGGACAGAAGAGATCCATTGGGTTTCTGAAGCCCCAAGCACAAGCTGGAAAGAAAGAGATAACATTTAATTGCAAGAATGAATTATTACATTTAAATTACACATATTATCATCTGAAACATGCAAGAAAGAAACTGCAGATTTTATTATTCCAAGTAACAGTTTTATCCTCTGCCTTTTGGTTTTCAATGATGTGTAATAAAAGTATTAGAAGACCATCTTCTGTTCTCCATAACCCTGGGCCTTCTTTTCTGCAGGAAAACGCAGAACTATTCAGCTTTTTTCTGTCAGCAAAATCAATATATCTTAGCTTTTTTTCTTGAGACTGGCAAAACTAAAAATCAGATTAAAGCTGCACGGAACTATTACGAGCAAAGTTGAGAAAACGTCTATGTTTTTAATTCAGTATATTTAAAATATGTATTACGCTCCTGGTTTGCAGACGTACAACATTCACCTGACAGAAATTACTTAAAGCAATAAATGAAATATTTATGGAATCGTTTTAGGTTTTTGGACATTAGAAGTTGTTTTTTTATTTATTAATGAGTGAGCAGATATGTCTGCAGCAAACACTGCAGTGGTATTAATCAGCACAATTTCTTCCAGAGTCTGTTTGAAGATGCTGAAGCATTTAGCACGTTGGGATAAGATAATCCTCGTCTGTTTATTTAACAGGATGAACATGATTATTTGAGCCACTCGTAAATAAGCAGCTCAGTTCTCTCCAAGGAGTCGAGCTTAATGCTAATGATATACAGTAAGCAGTAACAATAATTTCACAGGTTATTGAACTGTGTGTCTTTGTGAGTGAGAAGCTCATTCGCTTTTCCTTTTCAAGCACAGTTTGAGATAAGATAAGTCTTTGCTGTGGCTGCCGTTCTGGAGAATCTATTCTCATTTAGTTCCAGCGCTTCCTTTTCTTCAAAGCTGTTATTTCTTACAGCAGAGGCAGAAAAGAAGCGAAGTTAAAATACATAGTTTAACTAGCCTATGTAATTTTTCTTCTCCCTGCAGCTTTTTCTTAATTTTTTTAAAATTAAGTCCATCTGCCCTTTTTCTCACAAAAAGAATAATAAATGAATCAAGATGATGAAACATGGGGTTACTGCAAAGTTCAGCTGCTTCTTTCAATGAGCATGTCAGCCCATCACTGCACTGACAAAGTCTTTACTGAATGCAAATGCATCCAAAATTAAAGGTATTATCAAAAAGGTTAAAGTAGTTCAATAATTTGATTTTTAAAAACGTAATGTGTATCTTTATTACACACCGAGAGATGCATTTCAACAGAGTGATGCTGTTAATTTGGTGTTATTATTGTGTTTTACAACAAAAACCCAAGGTGTGAGTGAATTGCAGATGTCTACACTGACTTTGGACTCGATAATTCACAGTAGATCTGATCCACTCACTGACTGTGGAAACTTCACTCAGGACCTGAAATAAGAAATAAGAGTCCAGGTAAGAAGCATTTGTCCAACACCAGAAAATGTAACACTTGTTCATACTTTGTCTCCCCAAAAGTCTTGGATTAGCTTCAGAATCATCTCAAAGCTGTGGTTGACCTTTGTGCTGGTGCAACCGTTTCTGTTGAACTTTTTCCTTCCACTCAACTTTCCATTAACATGCTTTAATTCCACAATTCTGCCAACATCCAGCAAAATCTGTGTTTTTGTGGACAATGCCTCCTCGTGTAGGTCATAACATAATATTTATGCATCAAATGTATTTGTTGCATCACATTGGAGTGTTCTGAGTAATAGGTGTTTGGGTTTTTAGGAGCTTTCCACCGTAAAATTGAGTAGAAATGTATCACTTTACTTTAAAGCTATGAGTGTCACTTTTTGTTGCACATCGTAAATTAGTTTTCTTTGTAGCTGAAAGTCGTCTGTAGAAGAACATTTGAAAACCTAAGAGTCACTGACGTAATAAGAATTTCTCTCATGCTCTCATGTTTTTTTTAGCGCCTTTAAGGTCACTATTTTGTCAGGTCCAGATATTAGGAGGTGACATGCAGTTTTAAAATAAAGGGAACACCTAAAATCCCTTGTCAGTTAATGTCAGGCATCTCTTTGTCTTTCTGTTCTGCAAATTGTCCAAAAAAATTCAAAAAGTGGAGAATTTACAGGCGTCAACAAATGAAACAAA